GTTCATTAATTCATCAATTTACTTACTTGTACTATAACCAAAATACCGTATAATGCTTTGTCTCTACTACTTGAATTATGCTACTTTAAATTTTACATATAAAAAAACAAACCTACCCACAAGGAAGCAACTTAATATACTGACTTACTCTTATGATATATTACTAGTTTTTTGTATCCTGTGCGTTATGCCTTTAAGCCAAATTGTGTATCCTATCTAATTTGAAAGCAACCGTAAATCATCAAATCAGCGATTTCGAAATGGGGTACTGTCCAGGTAGTGTGAAACTGTAGTTCGCGAGAAAGCCAGCTGATTGTTATTAAAAACAAGCCAACGGTGCGCACCGACTGATGTCCCCCGCCGCAAGCACCGAAAAATATATGACACATATTAATTAATTGCACATGTATCTTTTTGCAAAGTATCGAGCAATCAAACTGATTATCTACGATATAAGTCTAAGCAGAAAATGTTCACGATCGAACTCAGTCATTACCTGCAGTGAAACTACACTAAGTTTCATCAATTCCCATAACACGGTAACGTAGGCAGTTGTAAATTATCTGCCTCTTACATTGAGGAAAATAGTATACAGAAAATTGCTATGGAAATATTTTCTCTTTTCGACAGAGATTGTTCTTTTTAATGAGTAATACTATCAATTTTTTAGAATTACGTAAAATAATGCAAATTTAAAAGAATAGGTGATAAATGAATTGAAATGAGGTTTTAACTTTAACGTCCTACTTTTCTGCTTCAGCCGGGCTAATGAAGATGGGAAAAGCTATGTTTTGACACAATAAATAAATAATAATTTGCTGTGAAGATTTCAACTTATCTACTAGTTTGTAATCAAATTAAATTCGTTGAAGCATATATATATACATATATTTATTTTGTTTGTTTTTGTCTGTTTTTGTTTGTTTTTGTTTCAACTTATCTACTAGTTATATTCATTTTGTTTGTGTTTTTTGGTAGGAGGTGGGGGTGGTGGTGGGGGGGGGGGCGCAGTTTGTCGTCAATGGCGAAAGGGTTATTGAAAATAAATCTTAAATCTTAATTTCAGAAAAAATACATAGCCTGTAATTGCTTTATTGCCTCTAAAAAGTAACTAAAATCGATTAAGTATTAGAATTACCACATGGCTGAAATGTGGTTATCATTCATGATGATACAATTTTCAAACAATGTAAGAGAAATCTTAATTTACATACCTGCCAAAAGGAGCGCTCCGATTCCAGTGTTGAATATCTTCCAAAGAACAACTGTTAATATTGTTCTGTCATTGGAAACAGAGAGTTGATACTTAGTAAAAGATGTAGTAATAGGAACAGTAGTATTTATATACAATATCTAAATACATGTTAACATTGTCCTCTCTCTATAAATATTCATTATTTAATATGATAAGCTGTAATTCCCGCGCCTCTTTTAGCTTCGCGGAGGTGGGTTGTTTCTATTGGGATAAGATGAAAAACATTAAAATCCGTAGGTTTCGTGAATAATACCAGTTTTTTTTATGTAGGATTGTTACATCTTGGTCAAATTCGCAACAATTAAAGGACAATATTCGTGTTAGTCATTATCAAATATGTGATAGAAAGAACTGGTTAAACACGTTCCAAATACTGTATAATTTTAACACAGAGATCATTGCTGACATAGATGCGTTATGAAGATTTCAAGAAACGGAAGTGACAAACGCAAAAGGAAAACACGAGTTATCCTTAAATATAACTGACCGAAGTGACGAGTGATAACAGATACATGGACGAATTTCTGCTCACTAATAATTCCTTCAAAGACCAAAAGTTGTTATGTGTTATGTGAAAGGATATCTGATAATTCAAAAAAGTAATTGGATGCCACTAGATAAGGGAAAACGAGAAAAATATATAGAAATAGTCCGTACATTCCCTTGTTTTTATTCATTCTCTCCTTAATAAAAACGTGTAAATGCGCGGAATTTTTCTACTTTTCTCGTTTTCTCTTATCTAGTGACAGTCAATATTGACACCAATATTGTCCTTTAACATCCGAAGGAGAACTTTATTTCTCAAAACTTCCAATTGCACGTGTGTGGTTTCAGGTTGGTGAATATCACATTCAGTTGAGTAGACCATTCTAGAAAAAATAATGAGAAGTGAACTTTTGTCTCTCCGATTTGCCCACCCTTGCCTTGCAGATGTATGTATGTATCGGATTTCCTAAAGCTAACTTTTTATTCCAATATGATCCCCTGCCCCTGTCTCTGAAAATCGCTCGAATCTGTCCGATTAAACTATCAATGAAGACGCAGCCCGTCTAACTGGACATTTACAAGACTGAATGCCCTTACATCCTCTGAACTCACAACAAAACACACCCACTTGCGTTTTACCGCAGTGATCCTTTAATATTAAAATTTCAACAACTCCTTCTCCAACGTATCTTGTTGTTGCCCAATTATACAGTGCATGGCAGAATATTGCAGAAAAACTAATTGCGCGACAAACGAGGCTATCAAAACGGCTACAATGTAAACAATACTGCTTATAGACTAACAATACTTTCGCCGTTTTAATACCACAAATCACTGTCCAAGTTTTAGGGAAGACCCCAGATTAAACGAAGCGCTACCATGTTGCTGTACTTCAGGAATATGCGGTTAGAGGTTAGCATGCCAACGTCTTATTTAAAACTGAGGAACCGTGGCCATGAAACGCGGGGGCCCCAAAACCGCAGGGCCCTAGGCCCCTCAGGCCCATGCCTAAGCTGGGCTTTGATTGTAGGTAAGGGTTAGGGGAAGCATTAAGGCTAGGTCCAAGTTTAGGGTTGGGATTAGCGCTAGCTCTGTTTACATCTTGTGACCTATGACGAAATACTGAGTTAACCGCTGATAGAGCTGGATCAAATCATAACTTTAAAGGGGCATACAACTAATTCAAATTTAATATTTCAAAGCACCGATGTGTAGAAATAAACTAAATACTTGTGAACCAAACCCCAGGAAAACAGCAAACCCCAAACAACTTAAATAAAAATCGAAACATTAAATTAATAACCTCAAATTACGGGCGTGGAACTGAATATGAGATCCCATTACATTATCAAATCTCAATAAGCAAAAGAAAAATAACTGTTAAGATGTCACATAGAACACTGGTTAACAATTATGAGCCCTTTCCCGACATGGTTGTACGTCAGAACCTAGAGTGGGTTATGCAATAATATAAACCTGTAACGTTAAATCTCTTTGATCTTTGGGGTATATTCTATGCCCGGAATAACTTGCGGTCTACAAGTCGGGGACGGCTTTGGATATATACAGGGGAATTCTTCTTTAAACCTGTAACAGACTATTCTTCCAGGGTAGGTTTTTTTTCCATAAGAAAACATGATCTAAGGTTTTTCTTGTGGGAATTCTGGGATATTCTCAACTTGCGTACATGTAAACATAGACGGTTTATAAGCAAGATAAAGTCCTCGATTTTTCTTTTTCTCGGGTTATTTTATTCAGTCTTTCTTTCCCCAGTCTCATGCTTTATCCTACACTTAATCCACGACCATATACCAAACGTTTTATAATTGTAAGTAAATCTAACAAATGTTGTTCGAAATAATAATGATACTTATTTTTAATATCACATCTACTTTACCCACCCCCATCTTTTCCCCGCAAAAAAAAAATACATCAATTCATCATACTATTTGTATTAATCCTTACTAAACACATTTCTAACTTTTCAACTTCACCCGTCCTAGCTTTCTTTACAGGCGGTTGTGGGACTTTGTCATTTGTAGTAGTCGGGTCATGCAAATTCTAGGATAACACAGCTGCCACCGCAACACTTATTAAATTCTCCCTGGATGTGGTGTGTGTGTGGGGGGGGGGGGGTAAAATGGTAGTTATCTCGGTCTTTTCTATCCTTTCCTCTTTTTTTGGGTCCGCCATTCTCTTAGGTGGATTACCATTCTCTCTAAACATTTTTAAAACCCTCATTGCTCTTAAAGGTTTTGGAGCATCCCAGATTGGTTTTACGGTCGCGCCCTCCATGATTTGCACGATTAAAAGGTCAATAAAAATAGACAGTGTCCGAGTCGGTTGAAACAGGTGTAAACTATTCATTTTCCACCCCTAATTCAGTTTTTAATAACCGTTTCGTTTCAGAAGGTAGAAATTGTCATGAGTTAACATAGCTTACACTACGTCCCTGTCATACACTAATTCAATTTCATTGAAATCGATATCCGCTCTGTTGAAAAGTATTTCCGTTCTCAGCTCATTTTTTGTTATCAGCTCAGATTTTGCATCCTTTTCCATCAAAGAAAAATGGAGGGAGAAGCCATGACAGTTTTATGACCTGCATGAAAATATAAAGGGGGTAATAAGTCTTAACCCGTGTTAAAATGGTTTTCAATCAATGTATTTATTCATCTTGCTGGAGATAACTTTTAATTTTTTAGGAGAATTTTAAAAAAGAAATACCCTGGTGGAAATCTTAAAACCGAAATCTGTAATAACTATCTCGATCACATCAAAATAGGGTTATTGCAACTTCAAAAGTCATTTAATTGATGGCTATCTGAACTTCCTAAATAAAACAGGACCTGGAGCCTGTTTCACGAAATTTTAACTAAGATAAAATCCAAATTTTAGTAATTTGATTGAATAATATTAGGTTGATTTTAGTGCTTAGCCAATCAAAATTGAAGTATCTACTAAAATTTGGATTTTATCTTTAGTTAAAATTTCGTGAAACGGGGCCCAGGTAAAATGCATTACGCACCAACTTCCCGTGGTCAAGCTAAATCATTTCAATACGTGTGTTAATATCGATGTTTTAAAAGTACCCTATATCATAGAAGGTTGATTATACACAAGAACCGTTTTGTACCTTATCACAGAAGGTTGATTATGCACAAGAACCGTTTTGTTTGTAATAAGGACAGTTTTTGTCACAATGTGGTTTCCGCGAAGTAGATATTTTATTACAATAATATATAACAAAAATAATTAGTTAAAGTATATGATTTATTATGATAACAAAATATACCTAGAAATAGCCATATCATTTAACTGACATTGATAAAACATAAATGCTGAACATGTTTAAAACGATCGGGAAAGCTTTAGCATCAATAATATATCACATATAAAAAGCGAAAATAAAGTAAATTGTATGATTGTATGGTGCACGTAAAAGAGCCCATGATAATTTGAATTCGAAATAAGAGTAGGCTGTAGTGCAACTGTCAGGGCAAAATATCCACTCATTTCATTTCATTTATAATAGTATGTAGACAAGATCTTCGGGATTCTCGACTAAATCTATACTAATTACAAGCTAACTATGTAAATAAAACTGCCAGTTATATATGTATGTACTTAAACGATTGAGTCCAGTTCATACTGATTATTTGAGAAAGTAGATTAAAGTAACAAAAATAGAAAATTAGGTACGTCTTTTATTACCCCTTAAAGATTAGAATTTATGTAAATATATGTAACAAGACGTATTTCAGTTCTTTAAAGTTACAATAATAAATAATATAGATCATATTTAGAAATTGATGAATGTGTTATTTTAATATAGAACTTGCTCTTTCAATTCAAAACTGTTATATATGTCACTGTACTCTAAAGAAAGTAACTAAAATCATATTATTTACATAATAAACTGTTTTTTGGGGTTTTTTTCAGGGATATAAATCTAAGTTCGTCAGCACCCAATAGAAAATCACCCCGTGTTTTGTAATATGGCTTAGTGCATGTCTTGCTAAAACACCTCAAATACACCTGTTGAGTTGTAGCCCATTTCGGAATATTGACCAAAGGTCCATTTTACCCACTATACTATAAAGGGACCCCTTTTAAGGTGAACGAAGTAACACAGGTTGTATTCCTAGTAAATATATGAATTATATTTTTCTAAGAAAATTAAAAGTTGAAATTAATTAAAATACAAATCTATAGTCTAAAAGGTCTTAGATATTGTCCGGGATATGCTTTATCCCACGTTCCCCTCAAATATTTACAAATAATATACACACGTTTTTTTTCATGATATCTGTATGGGATTGGGGAACAAGCACATAAAGGCGCTAAAATAATGTCCATTGCTATACTGACTTTGTGTCCATTAAAATTTGAATTAACAAAACAAATTGTCCATATTTTACAAACACATAATGATAATTTACTTACATTTGTGATATTTACAAGCACGTGGTTTGTGATATTTTACAAATACATGTTTTGTGATATTTAATAACTCACAGTTTGTGATACATCCATTTTACAAAAATAATACTTTACAAGCACATGGTTTGTGATAATCTACAAGCAGAATGTTTGGGATATTTTTACAAGCACATTTTGGGGGATATTTTTACAATCGCATAGCCTGCGACATTTTTTACAAACACGTGGTTTACGCAGTTTTCAACACTCATTAATAAGTTGCTCACATGCGTACTGGGACTATTTCATCATTACACCTGGTCATTTTTTAATAATTCAAAATGTCGTTTTATTCCGTTCTTCTTCTTCATTGAAACAATCGAAAGTTGGGTTCTCAATACCAGAATCAATTGTTAACTCGTCTTTATTATTATCTGGGTAGGTAATACGATAAAAATGGTTCACTTTTGTGTCTTCCACCAGTCGACCATGTGGTATGTTATAACTATAGTACCTGAAAATAAGACGATTGCTTGAAATAGAATCTAAATGTCCAAAACATTGTAGAACAACATTACACCAAACTTCGTACTTCCCCACAACTATTCGAGATTGGGAATTATTAGAGGACCCCATAAAGCAATCAACCAACTTTAAATCCTTCAAATATCTATACAAACAACATACATAATACATAAAGCGCCAATCTACTACAGTAAAGGTAATAGACATGAAAATATTATTCACACTAGAATACGGCATGGGTGTAGTTCGTTGCAAAATGATTTGTATGAAATAAACGTTGTGAATGATCCCACATGTTCTTGTGGCAAATTTATAGAAAATGCTGAACACTATTTTCTGCAATGTCACTTATATGATGTAATTCGTGCCGAACTATTAAATACATTGTCAAATTATTCTGTGATAAATATAGATATCCTATTGTGCGGCAATTCAGAATTGTCAACTGAGATGAATACAAACCTTTTCCTTGAAGTTCACAAATATATCAAACTTTCAAAACGATTAAAATAAAAGTTAATGAAATTAGTTACATTTAAGTAAATATTATTAGCAATCGCTTTTTTGGTGGATAACATCTTGTTTGTATTAAATTTTGTCTATTATTTGTATGTATGGAAAGGGCTTTTCTAAGTTTTTGAAACTTGTGCTCAATCCTTTTGATATTTGTCAATAAAATATGTTTAAACTAACAATTCGGTAGCCATAGAAACATTCCCTACATTATGTATAATTAAAAGTTGTTCAAAAATGTTGCCCTTCACCCCGTCCCACACACCATCATCCCTGCCCCCTCCCCACCTCTCTTTTGGAAATCCTACATGCAGGCGCTACTGGAGGTGAAAAATACGTAGCCGCTCTTATAACACCTCTATTTATTTTTAAATAAACAAACAATAGGAAATGTGATGCTATATATAACTAAATGAGGAATTGTAAAAGGTCATCAACAGATTCAGATCTGAATTTTGACACATATTTTCAACAAAGGTGTTTGGACTTTAAACCAATGAACGTGAAACATTATACTGTTGTTTTTACGCATTTTATACGTAGAAAGTGAAAGGTTACGAAGTTGTAGATGTTATTTAACAGTACAGGTAGTTCTAGTTTCAGCGTAAACATGAAAGGAGTGTGTGTTCTCTAATAACTAGCTGTCGTTGTTAACCGTACCATTATGGGTGCTTAGTAATGATATGCTCGAATATCACATTGTGCATTCATCGAATAACCGACTATTCACGATGTAATTATTACAGTTTTTAAATGCTGAGTAGTCACGGTACCAAACATATAACCAACCTTTCAAATCAATTCGTCTCCTCAAACACATTAGATCACGGCTCTTAAAAATAGATTCTCTTTTTCAACGGTGATTATCTACGTCTTACCCAATTAAATGAACTATATTAAGACACGTCAGTACTATAAATACGTTCTTTGCCATTTCAAAATACTCGGTGTTTTCTCTGTCATTGGTTTTAGTAGATCTTATGCTTTAACGTCAAGATGGGGTGAAATATTTATAATAAACAAAAAGAAAAGCAGAGAATGGGATGCGCGACCCTTATCTGTTTCCGTCCAGACAGTGTGAATCAAATTATCATTGCAACCTAACTGTAGATCCAAGATGGCTTCCGTAAAAACAACACCTAATGCTTTAGTATTTCAAAACGGCAACAATTACGTCGTGGATGGTTATTTCACCATTCCCCATTTGACATTAAAGTTTCCCACATAATAAACCAAGTTGGTCGATTTGTTATTTCTACGATTGCGTGACAGCCTTAAAATATAGATAGGTTATACAATAAACATATTATAATAATACACATCATACTTACTTTCTATACGCTACAGCACCAATTACTATTACTATAATTAATGCTATAATTCCAAATATAACTATAGCAACGATACTTCCAGCTGGTAAACCACCACCTGAAAAATTACATAATCATTCATTAGAATTAGACTGAAATATAAATAAGTGCACAACCAATTTGGGCATAACGACTATCACATCTTAAAAGATATATATGCAAGTCCACATATACTATTCAAAAAAAGTAGGGGATATTTGATTTTTAAATGTTATTAAAGTCACCTAATGAAACTGACGAAGAAACAAATGACAAAATGAAATGAAGTTCACATTCATCGATTTATTCCAAATGATCGTTAGACTAAGTAAGGCACAGACTGACCATTATAAGGGTAAAATGATACCCGGGGTCAAACAGCAAAGTTACCACAGCATCACAACCAAGTCAGTAACGGGTAAATCCTCCTCTGTTTGCCAAACAAGCATTGATCCGACGTGGCATACTCCTAATGAGACGTCTAAGGTCATTTTGGTCCAGATTGTCCCATTCCTGTTGCAACGCAGCAGCAAGTTCTTGGACATTGGCAGGACGTTGTTGACGTTGACGTAACCTCTGTCCAAGCATGTCCCAGACATGCTCGATGGGGGAGAGGTCGGGACTCAGTGCTGGCCAAGGTAATGTGGTGATGTTCTGTTGTTGGAGGTAACCTGTAACGATCCTGGCCCTGTCATCCTTGCGTTGTCATCCTGGAAGATGAAACGGCGGCCATGACGTCGTACAAACGGCACAACATGGACTGCCAAGATGTTGTCCCGGTAGTACTGGCCTGTAACACGCCCTGCAACAACATGTAAAGCCGGTCTTCCAGCAACAGTGATGCCTCCCCACACCATAACAGAACCACCCCCAAATCGATCATGTCTGATGACGTTAACGTCTTGGAAGCGCTCGTTTCGACGACGCCACACCCTCCTACGTCTGTCCAAAAAATCAACAGTGAACCTTGACTCATCTGAAAACATCACATTGCTCCAGCGTCGATTATCCCAGTGTTGACGATCCCTACACCAACGACGTCTTGCCTGAATGTGATGATCTCTCAAACAAGGGATCACGCGAGGACGTCGGGCGCGAAGGTGACCCCTATGCAGTCGATTCCGAATCGTCTGGCCATTCACTCTCACACCAGTGTCTGTTTGAAGACGAGCGCTGATCTGATTTGCTGTGATGACACGATTTCTCAAGGCCAAGGTACGGATAAATCGACCCTGGGCTTGAGTTGTCGCCCTTGGTAGACCTGAGCGTGGTCTGTCCTGTACAGATTGTGTATCACGGTATCTGGACCATAGCCTGCTTATGACAGACTGAGAAACATTCATCGTCCGCGCCACAACCACCTGTGTTGTGCCGATCTGTAGCATGCCAAGGGCACGTAACCTTTCATTTTGGGTAAGCCGACGCATATCAAAATTTGTTTTCTGGTCACTAAAACAATTAAACTGATGTTTCCACCCTGGAATTCAATGCCACAATGACTGTAACATTCAAAGTCAGAGTCGTGCAAATCTTGGGTTGGACCCCCATGATGATCCCAAGCATCACCTGCATTCCATGCGGTAGCTATTGGTGCGTTTGGGCGTCACATGTAACTGGAAATGTTTCTTCTGTTAGGTTCTATAGTGACTTTTTTCGTAGTCATTTGCATATTTTAGTATTATGCCCCCAAAATCAAATATCCCCTACTTTTTTTGAATAGTATAGAATCGTACAGTGACTGGTAAGTATCTCGAACGACTGTCCTTCGGTCGGATGGACGCGGTGACGAATGCTGGGGTGAGTAGTTGTTACATCGATGGTCTCTCGATAATTTGCCGAGTGAGTTTGGTGAAAGGAGGGATTCGAGGTTCGTACACGGCGTTTTTGTTATAAACAATATTTTATTATAAATGTAACAACCAATTCAATTTTAACATAAAATTTGTGAAAGATAATCAAAATGGTAAAAATTACACGTTTAGTGAGTTGACTTATAAACACATGTACAGTGTGTATCCCGCAACTCCCGACTACCCTTATCTTGACCGTCGTTATGGTGCTAGATTGAGGCGAAAATGGTGGCCCCCAAGGCTCTGTCCCTGCTTCGCATTCGTGGCCTTGCTCTCTCTTTTCATTTCTTCGCCAATTCTTTCGAAGGCAGAGAATCCGTCGGAAGGCGGGATATCGTTCAATCACCGCGCACTCGACGGAAACACTTTCTTTTTAGTTTACTTATAGAAAGTAGATTGGTTAACAACTAAGTCGATCGATCAAGATACTAAATCGATCGATCAAGATATTTCATCGATCAATCGAGATTCTTTGGGAAAAATAAGATCGTTGGATGTCCTTGTCGGCTACCGTAGCATAGTATAGTTAAATATATAGAAAATTAAAAGCCCACCTTTTACATGGATTGATTTAACTGGCCTATTACCTACTGTGGATCCTGGAATAATACATATAATAGGTATCAATTAGGACATAGGTAAACTGCTACAAAAATAATAAAAATGTCTACACATATACCCTATACAAGCACCTTCTATAAAGCAGGAATTAATGAATATAATACTTGCAAAACAAAACGATAAGATGGGGCAATCACGAATAAGATAAGACCAATCGGTGCACGTTCGTTCTTGGGGCAGAACGTCCACTTTCCCCGGGTTGATATTACAGATGATGTATACAAACACATTATGATCCTTCTGGTTGCTCCGTCGACGCGCCCAGTGAACAAACACAACCATTGCTTGATATAGACTAAAGTATCTTAGTAAAAACTTTATTACATATAATTTTGTCCTGTGTATAAACATAGCCAAGTATTTAATCTCAGTGTCTGCGATATCACCTTAGACGGAAGCAGACGTTAATCCCGACGTCAAGTCAAGTCAAATCAAGTTTACTCTCACCATTATTTTCAGAAATAGTTGTTGTGCTGAGCATCACATCTGTACTCACTGAAATGTTAAACAAAGGTTTTAACGATAACTAATTGTAATCAAAGTGAACAAACAAGACCCTGCTTGAGTTAATGCTAGAAACAATATGATATTGTCATCATAAATATATTTACCAATCACAATTCAAATTGGAAAGATGTGCAAGGAAAATGTATAAAATATTCAAGCATATCACAGGAATGCGATATGGTTAACTGTTTGATCAGTGGGTTTCGTGTATAATTATTAACGAGGAAGTTATAACCGCACTACCTGTTAAGATCTAAATCCTTTAACGGTATTTCCACTAATGTCCACACCGCTTTCTAAAGGACAATTGCCGTTCACAGTGCATTGCGCCTGTGGTTTATTTTCAGAAAACCAAGCTATGTCTGTGCCGTGGGGGAATCGTTGAACCTTACCTTGTTTTGGGAAAGATGTTGATGTAGAGATAATCCTTTTAGAATATGTTGTTGATGGTGAAAATGTTGTTGTTGTTGCTGTAGTTGATGGCAGGGTGGATGTGTTGATGACTGACGATTTTCTGGTTGGTGAGTTTGATGTTGGTGATGGAGTAAAGGATGTTGCTGGTGTACTTGTAATATTAGACTCTGTAAACATAAAATTAGAAAATATATCAGCTAATCTGTGAAACCCAATAGACAGATGGTAGCCTTGTCTAACACCAATATCACTATACCAGTTTACTGAAATTGAATGGTGTTTAATGCCCTATTGTTCTGGCCCGATTGGGATAATGAAGACGGGCATACGCCATACAGTGTGCTATGAGGGCAATTTTGCCTGGACAGCGAAACCACGGCCTACTCTTATATCGAATTCCAATTGTCAAGGGTACTTTTACGTGCACGCTGTCCCTTGCCAGACACCCCGTCCTGCATCGATGACAAAGGGGACCACGCCAGAAAATCCCGATGAACTTTCTCGCCAACGCAGCGATCGAGTACAGGACCCCCAGATTAGCTAGGCAACGTCTTAATCAATCAGCCACCTTCTCCCCATTTTATTGCATACATTATTTAAGTCAATAGGCGTCTACCATTGGTGATCTTTCACTTCCTTTATACATATATTTAGACAGATAGCAAAATGTATTTAATGTAACAAGTTTTTATAAAGTATATCAAGATATTTATCTTACCTAATGTACAAGTTTGTTGATCATTATTCAGAACAAAACCGGTTCGACATCTACATCCATGATAACCTTTAGGTTTTGGTAGACAGAAGTGTTCACAGTTATTATTCAAACACACGCTGTTTCCTGAAATAGAGAGGCACAACTAGCGTGAAAAAAAGATGTGTTGTTTTCAAATGCGGGGCACTTTTGAATATAAATATTATTTAAGAGATAGAGACATTTAAATAATATCATTACCTCTTACTACTTCAGAGGAATTATAACCATAAATTCCATACAGCCTTGTAAATTGTTTCGGACCAAATTGTTCTAGAGTTCCGCCATCTTTAGAAATACGAGAGATATATCTGTAATAAAGAATAAATGGCAGGTAAGATTTATTTCTATGAAATTCGTGCAAGTGGGAGATATCGGTTTCCACATTATGAGATTGCCTACATGCGCTACTTCAATTTTATCTTACAAACTAGTCAAAATTCTAATATATGTTTTCAGATACCAGGGCCCTTATTCACGAAAACTTAAACTAAGATACAATCGAAAGTTTAAGAAATACTGCAATTCGATTGGCTGACTAATATGCAAATTGGATATATGCAAATTGATTTTACTGGTCAGCCAATCGAATTGCAGTATTTCTTAAAATTTCGATTGTATCTTAGTTTAAGTTTTCGTGAATAAGGGCCCAGAAGAGGACACTTGAAAGTGTTTGAAAATAAAGAGCATAGCGTAGCATCTATGATTTATTCGATATCGGCGTTGGCCGATGCAGAGTACAGGGTGTATGGCTGGCAAGGTTTGATCGTTTAGTGGTACCTAGGTCCCGTGTACACGTTGACTTGCACGTAAAATAACCATTGAAAGTCTAGCAAAATTTCCCTCATACTGTATGACGTATGCCCGTCTTTATTATCCCGATTGGTGCAGAAGAACGTTAAACCCAATTTTATTCTTTCTATAATTTGGACTGATGCAAATGTAATGGTACCGTTTCCACTTTTGGGGGGTTGGATGGCTGAATGGTTAGCGTGCGCGCGCTGTATCATAAAGTTTGTCATTGAGTCGACTGGCGTGGTTTCGAATCCCCAGTTGTACGTGACAAGGAGTAGGGTCGCCTGTCCAACCTCGTGGGTTTTCTCCGGGTCCTCCGGTTTCCTTCCACTGCTAAAGACCCCTATGCGCAAGCGAATTATTGAAATAAAATTAAACCATATATTAGTCCCGAAATGACCTAGTTTGTGTCGAGTGGACGTTAAACCCCATTTCTCTCTATATATATAAGCGTTCCCGTGTGCGGAAAAGAAAGATGCTCGATGAATGAATTTCCGCAACATGCGTGCCCTACCGGATGTTTACTTTCTGACGTATAAAAACGGGTTCTCTTACACTAAGTCAACCAACCGTTCTTGTTAATACAAATTCAGCTTGCAAATGGTAGATCTTTTGGACATGGTGTTATTATAAAAACGTGGCGCCTTGACATAAACAATGCGGGGCTCCATGCGACCATGCCGTACGGATAGATCTATTTGTTAAGGCCAACTCAATTTTCGTCTAGATCTATTTGTTACGGCCAACTCAATATTCGTCAACGTCGCTAAGATGTCAAAGGTTAGGGTTAGGCAGTGGCGGATTAAGCTCCACCAAGGCCTAAGGCGGCAGTTGCTGGAGGGCCTATTTCGTTACTGAGGTTATAATATTATTAAAATATTAGTTATAACTATTGAAATTTGTCGTACAAAATGCTTTGGCAGCAGAAACGTCACCGGAAACCAACTGTACATACACCTATTTTCAAGGATAATATTTCCTCATGATGGGGTGTTTACATCGAAACTAGCGCAAGATCTTTTGTTAGATATTTTTTCTTAAGCCAAAGTCGTTTGATATTGGTAATGTAACTTTATATGCCCATAAATGACGTCACGTGGATACAATATATTAAAGTAGCTAAGTCTCTAACTCAATATCATCCAAAATCTTCGACAATGAAAACACGAATTATTTGTCAATTTAAATCATCAATGATGTTGTGGACTTCTGATATCCAATATTTAAGACAAAATAAAAAAATTACGATTGGTACACGAATCGTGTACCATAGTGCGTTTCAGGCCGATTTTTAACAAGGGACTTGAAGAACGAGGCTAGACGGTGACGCATAATTCTTACCTGGAGAGCATACGCAATACATGCTATGTAGACTAGAATAACCAGACACTAGAGATTTACTTTAGATTGAGACTTCAGGCGTATTTCGCCGAACATAACTGATTTAAAATGAGAGTAAAGACGGAAATAATTGAATGTAAATCAATTTATATACATTCGTATTACATTATTATATGCGTTGTGACCCATTTGTGTCAATTTTTAGGTCCCAAATATTAGCGATTTAGCTCCTTTAAGCAAGACATAACCGAAAACTTACAAGGATTTAACGTACATTGTAGGCCTACGTTTAAAAAATAAGATCAGATCTCCAAACAATAGGGCCTATTTAAAATGGCGTGGGCCTAATTAATTTCGGGTGAGGGCCTTTGTTGATTCCCGTTGGGCCTAAGCCCCACCCCCTAACATCCATTGTCTATGCGTTTTTAATCGTATCAAACAAGTCTAAAAAATTTTTTTTTACAAAATCTTTGGGCCTGAGGCTGCAGCCTCATCAGCCTCACTGATAATCCGCTACTGGGGTTAGGGTAAGCGTTAGGGCTATATCCAGGGTTAGGGTTAGGGTTGGGATTAGCGCTTGCCCTGTTTACATCTCGTGATCTTTGACCATCGAACAGATGCTGTACAGAGAAATCCTCACTTATGACGTCATTTACACGGGATTCCCCAAACTTTTTAACAGAAACGTTGCGTTTTTCCCCTAGCGAAAACGCGTACACGGACAGGAAACCTTAGACTGTTAGGTATTTTTTACAACAAATAATATCTTACGTTTTCTTCCAGTCTGTTATATATAAATATTTCCCCATTATAACTAAACCAAAATAATGTGCATTTTCTTCTTGCTGTAGTATAACCTTTCTCGTTGTTAGATCATTAATAGACACCGATTCTATTTTATTATATTTAGCATCAGCCCAATATAGTACTTTCTCTGCAATATATAATTTCATTTCGACACTATCAAAATATGATAAATACAAATAAGTACAGTAGTTAGTAAAAAGTAAGGATAAGGACCCTTTTTAATCGCATATAGTAAATATATTACAAATACTCGAGAGCCCATAACCACATAACTTAGTGTGTAAACCTGTGATAAACTATAGAATGAGAATACATCCTAATTCTATGATTAAACAAATTCTATGATTAAACAAACGAATAAGGAAAGATTATTGATGATATACTCAGCTATGATTAGGGCCAAATCCGTTATAAGAGATGCATATTTCCTATTAATTCGCCATATTTTGAGGATTGTTTCATATAAGGAAATATTTATATTTTAGATCAATAGTTATATATAGGTCGCTGACCTTTTCTATCGACAGTTAAACCGTTCGGCCAAGAATCTTCCTCCAATAGCAGAAAAGTCTCTCTTTTAGTTCCATCCATTTCAGCTGTTTCTATTTTTGGATGAAATCCCCAATCAGTCCAATACATAGTTCTGAAAACCAACCAACCACATAGATTGAGATCCTTTAAATATGCATTATGTAGCTTGTCTTATAAATAACATTATTAAGCTGTTGTGAAACTACAAATTTCTTTCCGTATGCGTAGTGAAACATGAGCAGATTTACCATCGTGCTCTCTAGGTGTGCTTAAGCGTTCCAAAAAGTTTTCAAAATCCTGCTGAAATGCATCAAAATATATCTTCAGCATAGACTTTTGCACATATTAGTAACCTAAAATCATGTTGATCTACTTAAACTTTTTAGATATAAAGAATTTAAAAGCCGCCTATCTGCGCAACTTGAATTTGATAGCAAATGGTGAAAAGAATTGTAGGTTTTAGAAAGAAAAGCTCGTCATTCATGTATGCCTCCTTCAGGGCCTAAGTATGGGGCCGCTAACTTAACTAGCACAGGACTTCATAATTTGTCCTAAATCCGGCACTGCCACACGCATTTAAATACATATTTAAGTAAAAAGTAGGTTTTCGACCCAGGTACATCCTGGCGACAGCTAAAACAGTGGCAGTTGAGTGTTTAACGCGATGCTTTAGCCTTGCGGGATAAAAATCCATTTTTGGGTGACCGTAGTGTATGTTAAAACGTATGCCATATTTCCTTGCGAATAATACAAAATATGATCAGCGAGTATTTTGTAAAATGAATTTTTTTTTATGTTATTTTTTTTATATATATTTGTAGTAAAGCTACAGATGTCAGTGTTTGCTTATTATGTCGTCGCTCCTGTCCGTCCGTCAACACTTTGCTCGTGAATGCGATAGAAGCTACATATTTTAACTGCTTTATCTTAAATGTGGTGTGAAGCATTGGGTCGTGAGAGAACGAGCCCTGTCAATAATCAGCGTTCCACAACCCCCGTTCCAAAGTTATCCCTCCTTTCCCGAAAATCTTGTGGACGCGATAGCGGTTACGTTTTTAACGGATTCTTTGATCTTAAGCATGGTGTCACAATAAGACGAACCTTACCTATATTCAACATTACGTTCAGATGTTAACACTGATTCTTTTTAAATTTGATAATGGGTGAAGCATTGAGCATTGGGGATATGGGAGGGTGTACCCTATCGATAATCAGCGTTCAGCGATTTTCCGTTCTATTGTTGATATTTGGTGAGAAGCATTCGGGTTATTACAGAATAAATCCTATCGATTTTCAGCTTTCCGCGACCTTCCCTTCTGGAGTCCATTTCCCTTATAAAGATCTTGAGAACTGGACAGAGGCTACAGTTTTTAACGGATTTACATCCCAAATTTGGTGTTAAGCATTAGGGCCATGCGAGGATAAACCGTATCAATGTTTTGCAGTCCAAGATCCATGAAAGCTTGTGAACGCGATAGAGATCAGATTTCCTAAAGGCACCATTTATCCCTTAAAGTGTGGTCACATAAAGTTTTCCTTTTGGATGGCTGTCTTTCTGTCGAAACTTACTTTGCGTGGCTATCTTATTAAATAACAGCCATCGAATCAACCAGCCCTTTTATGTAAAAGTGTATTCTTACCCGTCATTTGGTAAAACAACAATAGCTCTAGGTTCATCTAAATCTTTACTAAATAAAACAACTTTTTGCTGATAATCATCCAATGAAACAACATTTATAGTATCTAGACCAGTATCTGTATAGTATAATAACCTATTGATGAAATCTACAGCTAAACCATCCGCTACCGATTCTGAAATATAAAATATTCAATATCTGTACAATACTGTGGAGACTGTAACCGACGAGCAACATACACTGCGGATTTTACTTAAATCCATTACTTACTGTCTGATGCAATCAGATATGTTACTTTTCCGCCGTATAGCCCCTCAAATTAAAAGAGGCATCCATCTTTTTATATCATCGCGGACCCTTTATGGTAAGCAATACAAAATCTTGTCTTATCTACCTGTTAAATGGAGAAGCGAACACGTTTTTGTTTTTGTTAATTTAAATTATTTAACGGGTAATAAAACATTCAATTACTTTCTGATAATCCTGCTACCAAGTCTGAAACTCTCCCGTCCAAATTGGCGCCTTTTATTATTCTGGCTTTGTTGTCACTCCAGTAAACTCGATGACGTATTGGATCAAAGTCGACTGCTATTGGTTGATGTCTAATGGTCATATCAATAGCATGGACTACGCCATTAGTAGTACCAATCTGATATATCTGTTTCTGATATGAATCCGTTACTATAAGAAAATTATCCCTGATAACAGCTGAAACAAATGAGAAACGGGATTGTTAACTATGTGAAAACATTAAGAGAAAAATCTTATCATGTTTTTCATGGAAGAATAATCCCACACTGTCAACATAAAATGGTCTGCTAGCACCCCTCCCCCACCCCGCGTCGGCGCTCTCGAATTGTCACTACAACAATTCAATATGGAGATTTGAAATTTCTGGACACACTGGCAGACCTCTTCACAACTTGACGTCGAAAACCTTCGAATTATGATTCCGTCTATTATTGAGTTCGTATTCGTTAAGGTGTTAATATGCTGTATTTTTACATGGAGGCCTGCAGTCTATAGAAACACTAGGCATCTCATTTATCTTTGATGCTTGATATTTCAATAGCACCACATATTGGCATAGCAGATTCAAGCAAGTCAACAACAGATTACAATGGCAAGGGATAGTTGTTTTCTGTCAGTAATACAAAATCAACCAAAGGCATAAATTTGACCATATCTGTTCGCAAATCAAAACACTTGTCGTGGGGTATGATAAAGTGAGAACGAGCAAGTATTAATAATATGCGTAGGGATTGTATAAAGACTTAACTCTTTCACTATACTCTGTTCTGAATCGTATTTCCAAAATTTAAACTCAAACTCCGTGTTTTGCTATCGAAATCGTTTTAAATATTTCCATTTATAGCGTTCTTGCGGTAGTACTAAATTGGACAGGACTTGGACAGAAGAGCAGCAATAACATGATAGGTAGCGCTGTAGTGTTCACAAGAAATAATTGTGGACGGAAATACATATATGTGACGACGAGAGTCGTGGTCTCGGGTTCGCCCCTGAAGTAGGCGATAAAATTCCTATGGATTTTCCCGTGCGGTTCCCCCTTGTCAGTGGTGCAGGACGAAGGGTCTGGCAAGGACAGTGTCTAGTCGTTTTGATGGGACGAAACCCGAGGTCCCGTGTAAACATCGGCGTGTACGTAAAAGAACCCTTGACGTATGGCGTATGCCCTTCTTTATAAGCCAAATGGGTGCAGGAAAGTATTTCACTTCTGATGTCTTATATATATCTTTGGATAATAAATGAGATAATATACATAAGATGCAACAAAAGAAAAGAATTTTATTTAATTGTGTATTTTTATAGCTTACTTGATGAGCATGTTTTCATATTATCATCTAAAGAATAGCCCAGACCACATTCACAGTAGTAAGTCATATTAGGTCCTCTTAGACACAGCTGTTGACATTCATTACTTTCAAACTGACACGGAGCTGCCAAGAAAGAAAAAAAGGTATCACCTTTTACAAACAAAAATTAAATTAATGAGTTAACAAGACAGGTCATTCGAGTGGTTGAACAAACTGACAACTTACTGGTGTAAAAACAGAACAAAAAAGAACAAAAAACAACAAAAAACAACAAAAAACTATGGTTAAACACTACAATCAATATGCAGAAGTTGAAATCGAACTTAAAATAATTAAAATGGGTAGACCTCTTTAATTTGGTAAAAAACTAAAATTGTCAAATCATTGGATTGTATGACTTTATATATTATGTAGGATAGTAATCAGTCTTTGTTGAAAGTAGTCATCTATCCATAAATAAAGTCATTGATTTTGTGTTCCACTGTTGTCACGTGCAGTATGGTATTTTAATGTAAACTAAAATAATTAGCAATCAAGTCGAATTCAACCAACAATTTAATCGCGTATAGAGCGTATAGCTTTATTTTGACCGAAATCAAAGTGGTCTATGACCTTTAAAGCTATTACAAACAAAACTGAAAGGTAATTCAGTTACAATGACATGAAAAAGCGAATTGATATATTAAACTAAATGGAGGACGTCATAATCTTTATCGACTGGACGCTTTAACTGTCAAAATGCTTGAGTGGTGTTTGTCACCTGCATTTTAACCGTTCTGTTACTTGCAGTTTTTTTAGGCTAATGAACTTATCTTAATGTCATAATATTTGAATAAAAAACCCGTATACATGTATATATAATCAATTTCTGTTATTCGAAAGATATGAATACATCTCCAACATACATGTATCAGTTGTATTTTCATTAAATAATGGTTGATTTTGTTCGTCATAAGTGATCAGATCAGCAGCTATACCATCAGCGGGATGAATTATCCCTCTTATTTTCTTTTTCTGATCAATTCTGGCTACATGAAGACCATTCATGCTGTCTGTATCGGTCCATAATAAGAAATCCTATTAACAAATAATAATTTTACAATTATTCAAACCGGTTAATCATTATGAATTTTCTAACTTGTTGTCTCTTGTGCGGGTTTCTGTGATATGGTTGAAACATTATAAATATATGGAAGTCGTTTTTACCTTTATGTTATAAACAAGACTTATTGGTGAACTTTGGGCCAGCCAAGGACAGCTGTCTAGTCGTTCGGATGGGACGAAAAACCGAGGTCCCGTGTACAGATTGGCGTGCACGTAAAAGATCCCTTGGCAATGGGAATTCGATATAAGAGTAGGCCGTAGCGCCGCTGCCCGGGCAAAATTTCCCTCATAGCACACTGTATGGCGTATGCCCGTCTTCATTAGCCCAGGTTAGGAGCAGAACAGTAGGACGTTAAACCCCATTTCATTTCATTTCATTTTGGTGAACTTTATTTGTATTGTACAGTAAAATACCTACAACTTGCCCGCACAGGTTTTAAACGAAGCACCCATCGGAAATTTATATAGCTATTTATTCTATTTCAGTATATGTATTGTATTAGCCCAATTCGGAGCAAAACAGTAGGACGTTAAATCCCATTTCATTTCATTTCATTTATATGTATCGTAGCAAAAGAGCATAGTTACCTTAAATATACTTATACCATAAAATTTACTCTTTTCTAAAGAAAAGAAAACCGTGATTCGACCTGTTATTAAATCATAACAACGGACATGATTCAAAACAGAATCCGACCAATACAATCTGAAAATAGTAATTTTGATATTATTCAGAATTTGATATGATATTTGAAATAATAGCGGAGATTACAACAACTGCGATAGTGGGATTAAACAAAACCGGGATTTAAACTAAAAGCTATAGCAACCAAAACCATTTCAGTGGGAATATCAACTATAAACACCCTATGTAGATAGGGCCGGTGGATGCAATTTTTGATTGGGGATGGGCATATAGGACCGTCATTTCCTGGATTATGGCCTCTGATTGTACGAACAATCACATTTTAGCCTGTTAACCCTGTAGAAATCACAGTTTATATTTGATTGTAAAAACCGCTCAAATATATCAAAGTTGCATCATAATTACCGTGGAGTTCAAATTTCGTGAATATCGAACCGAAACTGCCGGACAAAATGTCAGTTCCCCTGAAAAGCATGTAATACCCAGGTTAGATTTGAATATTAAGGCCACCTACAGATTTCGTCACTTCACGAGATGTAAAACAAGGCTAGCGCCAACCCTAACCCAAGTCCTAGCCCTTACCCTAACCCCACAATCCTTCGCAATAATCACGTTCCTTAACAATGTTTACATCTCGTGACCTTAATGAAATCTGCCTATGTCCTTAATATTTATATCTGACCCACAATCCTCGGCAATAGTCACGTGCCCTTACCCTGTTTACATTTCGTGACCTTAATGAAATCTGCCTATGGCCTTAATATTTAGATCTGACCGTAATACCCAGGTTGTGGACCATCCAGCAGTTCTAATTTTTTATTCAATTTTGATGAAACTTAAAATATATATTTATATCTCAAAGATCTGGGTTACTATCGATATTGGCGCGTATTGGACCGTAAATATCTGGATTATGACCTCCTGATTGTACCAAATATCACGTTTTTAGCGTCACAATTTTTATCTTATTTTCAAAACTGTTCAAATATATCACCGTTACACCATAGTTATGGTTGAGTCCGAATTTCCTGAAAATCGGACCGAAACTTCCCGTCAAATAGCCGCTCCCCGTTACGCAAATAGTATAACAAGAGCATGTAATGCCGAGGTTGTGGACCATCTAGAGGTCAAAATTTCATCCGATTTGATTTAGATGAAACTTAAAACGAGTATCACTAGTTCTTGAGTGAGTTCAATTTTCGTGCGCATCTGCCCCTGCCTTTTACACAAATTATGAAATATGAATGAAGTTTTCGGACCTTTCCTGATGAAACTTAAACTATGTGTTAAGGATCAAAAGTTCTTGGATGAGTTCGACTTTGGTACGCATCAGACCTTACATTCCAGAGCTATAGCCCCTGCTTTTCACGCAAAATTTAAAATATGTATGGATTTTGTAGGCCCTCCAGGGGGTCTGCTATTGTTGCCCCATTCTGATGAAATTGAACAAATATGTAAAGGATCAAAAGATCTTGAATGAGAATATGAACCCTATTGATTTTATCTCTTCCTCATCCATTTCATGCATAATGTGGGCGTATCTTGCATGACAACCGCTTATTTGATGGATAAGGGATACAAGGAAAGCGCATAAGGAAACTCTATCCCGTCGTTTTTCTGAATACGTAATCTGTCATAGATACATCAGTGAGTTATATAGAGGGATTACTCGTGTTTTCCTCTGGCGTTCGTTACTTCCCATTCAGGAAACCTGTATTACTCAGCTATCGTAGCAATGATCTCTCTGTTAAAATTATATTTGGAATGTGTTTAACCAACTCTATCACATATTGTCCTTTAACCCAGAGATCAGTATAGAGCATAGCAGGGTTTTCTTCTTCTGAAGTCTACCATCTAGTAGAAGTCTCACTTCTATTGTTAAAATCGGGCCTCTTTGTTTTTAATCGAATAGTTACCTGCGTTCAATAACCAGGAGAAAGGAGTACTTGCTAAAGACCCCCCCCCCCCCGCCCCGCCCCAACTCCATCCGGCATGTAGGTCAGTCAAGGGACTGGACAATCAAGTAAGACATTGATTAACCAGAAGAAGGTTTTATAATCTAGGAAGTTTATAATCAGCGAACTTCCTAAACGGGAATATATGTAGACCAATATTATAGGTCAGGTGTTCCGTGCGACACGCGCCATAACAAAATCGTAAAACAGGCCTAACGAATAGATGATATTCATTTGAGTGCGTTCAATTTTCCTTCATCTATCTACAGTTGATTACTTCAATCTATGGATGGTTTGATAGTGTTGGTCGATACTATTTGTTTATGTTATCTGTACATAGGCCTACACACGATTTCAAATTAATCAACGCTTAAACATTTCTATATTTAGAACAATCTGATTAAAATACAGCTCTATATTTTTGTTTCGTTTTTTTTTATACTTTCGATGGCCTACACTACATGAAGATCTGACAAGTTGTACTCGAAGGGCGTATCAGGGGCCGTACGAGCGGCTTTTGACCCTATGACGTCAGACATTTATTAATCAATCAGCGTTGACGTTTCTAGTGGTTTACCCACAGATCCGTGTATGGCACGCCAAGAAGTCGCCGTAACAGACCGTTTCGTAGCCTTACACCTCACTTCAACCAAAACGCCGGTAATATAACAACTCTTCTAGATCCTAGTGTAGTAAAGACAAGTAAAACGAAATTTTGAACTATAAAAAACGAAACGAAATAGGATCTGTGTTTTAATCACATTGATATTTAGAACCAAAATCACATCACTTTTAATGACTTATTTACAGGCATGGCAGTTAACCTCTTATAAATGAAGACAACTTGAATACATAAAAATTACTACGATTCTTCCTATTTTAGTATTTAAACTTGTTTATTGTATAGTGGGCGTTTTGTTTAAATATCGTAAAATGTACTTTCTTTCATTTTATGGGCATACGCTGTATTACATCATCCCAAATTCAACTGAAACAAATTAAAAGGCCAACTTCTAATCTGCTATATAAATTTGATTGAATTTCCGTGTCATTGCTTTGTGTGGGTGTAATAGTCAAATGAAAGACCAATAAACGCTAACCAGGATATTTTTAGTGTCGACACTTTACATGCAAATTCGTTTTCTCAAATAACCAAGATCCACGAACAAACACCACTCATCGTACTACTAATATTATTATGTAGAGGATATTTGTCGTTTTAGAGTGAATAACATATTTTATTTCATCGAGAAGCAAGAAAACTTATATTTTCACGAATGCGTAGCATGAGTGAAAATATAAACGTTTTCTTGCTTAGAGATGAAATAAAATATGTTATTCACGACAAAACGACAAATGTTCTATTTATTTTATGATTTTACAATCATTTTAGGTAAAAACAACATGGACTACTGCTAGCCAGTGGAATAACACTTTTATTTCACTGATAAAACGCGGTATTCCACTACTGATCATAAAATAAAATGAATTAGTTATCGCGAGTTATTATTTAAAAGTAATTTTCCGTGTCTATGGCTCTCAATCAAATCTCTGGAAATGGAATGCAACTTAAAATCAGCACGTTATTTTATAAACAATATCTTATTCAGAAAAAAAAGATTGAGGAGCAACCTTTGCCTTTATTACCTCTTACAACACTATAAGCTACTATCGATTTTCGTGAATTAAGCCTCACTGGTTAAGTGAATAAGACGCTGGCTCGCTAGCCTGGAGGTCACGGTTTCGATCCCGGTGTTGGCCGAGAAAGTTCATCGGGATTTTCCGGCGTGTTTCCCCTTATCAAGGGTGCAGGACGGGGGGTCTGGCAAGGACAGCTGTCTAGTCGTTCGGATGAGCCGTGTACACATTGACGTGCACGTAACAGATCCCTTGGCAGTTGGAATTCGACATAAGAGTAGGCTGCAGCGCTGCTGTCTGGGCAAATTATCTCCCAAAGCACACTGTATGGCGTATGCCCGTCATTATTAACCCAGTAGGGCGTTATAAACCCCATTTCATATAAAGCCATATTGATTATCAGTTGCATTTTCTGTACAATATCTCACTCAATCAGTGTTAATATTTACTCATATTGATAAACAAAATATAAACAAGATTAAATCAATGGTAGAAACTATCCTGGCTTAGATTCAAAAGAAGCCCATCAAAATATTTTAATCCAAGATTACACGTAGCACTGGTATGTTTCGACAATATCTCTTTTATACCATCTGCAGAGGATGCCAAATGTTGAAAATTTTTCGATTCATCAGACCTTTGTAAATATTTAACGGAATTTAACAATTTTCGGACAGATATTCCTTTCAGGGGTCAAACTTTTAAAATATGTTTGCAAATGATTTAAAATACCTGAATGACGACCATAGACACTAAAATGTAACAATCGATTTTTCATGAATTAAACCCCTAGTTGGATCTTTAACTTACCTGTCTTTTATAAAATCAATAAATATGTGATTGGGTGAACCTAAATTTTTTGAGTCCATAATAAGGGTTCTATTTGATCCATCCATAAAAGATTTCTCTACTTTTGGAGTAGGTCCAGTATCCGTCCAATAAATCTGCCTGAAATAACATAATTTGAAATATAATTTAAACAATATTCGTTCTTTAAAGTTAGATTAGTAGTTTGCATACATACTAATTGATATGCATATATTTACAAACAGACTTATATTATTAGTTTTCAATGAATGAATGAATGAATGAACTTGGGTTTAACGTCCTACTTTTTTGCAGCTACCAGGATAACGAAGATGGCACCTTTATCCCGGACAACAATTGAATTACTGTCAAGGGTTCTCTTACGTGCACTTCAACGTGTACACGGGGGCCCCCGGTTTTTCGTCGCATACGAACGACTTGACACGTTTCATTGCCAGATCCACCGCCCCGTTTTGCTATTTAAATAGCTATATTCCGTTTAAAATGCCGTTTACTGTCTTATTAAACCACAGATACAAAAAGAGAGCTTTTTTAAAAGATGAATTGAGAACATAACTGTAAATACTAAAGGTGCTGATCAAAACCATTACAAAAACTGAATGTGGAAAATATTGCTGAACGACTGGTAAAGTTTTTATCGTTTCGGACCCAGTCCTTATCATATGCAAAATATTTATTGAAATCTACTCATTTTCAAGATCAAGATTACTGATGATATGGACGAAATTGGGAGTGACACGCCCTTTTTGCTAAATGAAGAATTAATATAAAACGCAAACAGTAAATTTGCTATATTATGCGATTTCAAAAGGACATACCCGTGAAGTAATGGCGATTTAAAAGCAATGGTCTGTCATCTGTTTGGTGTGGGTTGGAGATATCTATGATTTATATGCAGTTATGCACATATATGTCAATTAAAAATATCGTTAAATTTGAAGTTAGAGCTTACCCTCTTTTAGGATGTACTGCTATTCCTAATGGACTGTTAAGGTTGGTTGATATAACTATCTTTTGAAAAGTGCCATCTTTTCTAGCAACTTTAATAACTTTAAATGTGCTGTCTGTCCAAAATAAATTACCAGCTATCCAGTCTAAAGTTAATCCTTAATAAAAGAAAAGGTCATTCTAAGAACAATGTTTTTCTGCAGAGTATTTTAAAACTAATTTTTGTAATAAAATGAACTAAGCGCTATATACATTTTTGATATAGCCCAATACAATGGACAAAATTTCGATTTTCAATAGGTAACTGTCTGCTTCCTTTTCGATTTTCAATAGGTAACTGTCTGCTTCCTTTTCCTTGGCTTAAATCTGCAGGCTAAAGACCATCGAACCTTTATAGGCCAAGGAGTGCCTGGATTTAACATTAAAGTCATTGAGAAGAAAATTACTAGCAAGTCCCCCCACAGAGGTAGACCACCAATTAGTTTCCCTATCTGGGTGTAGTTGTTCCATTTACAGACTTTCGCTCACTCCCTCTTTCCCCATTCGCATGGGCACTTTCTGTCAGGTTTTAGTGTATATTTGTGGAAGCATAATAGAGTTAAGTAGTTGATTAAGGTGATATGTACGACAGATATGTTTACCAGTAGGCTAATTATGGTTTGTGTATCTCAAGAGTCAAATGATCAACTTAAAAGCTCCGTCTGTGTTGGAGAGCATCCAGCGGAACGAATTTATTTGGACAAATTGTAGTCTCTATCATCCAGAAAAATATTCTTCAAATATTGACAATGGTCCCAGACCCTCCGTATGTTGAAGACTGGGGGTTCTTGATGACCGACACTAGACAAATTGGAGCCATAAAACTTACAAAGCCAATGGTCAAATTCATGGTGGTCTGCCTACTGGCCCTACTACAAGTTATCCCCCTTTATTAGTACTAATAAATTACCTCTAACAACACCCGTTCCTCCGATAATTGTGGTTGCATTTGACCCGAGTTCCAAACGCACTCGACTGATTGTTTTTGTGTTATTGGCAGAAAAATATAGGTTATGATTTCTTGCGTCGAATGTCAGAGCTAAGTAACCCCGTCTATCGTCTAAATAGCATTGATTATCCAAAGTTACATTTGTTAAAGAAATGTAAGCTAAGTTTGCTGGGTACTGACAAATTGCATCACTAATTGCATAGACGTGACTGGGCATACTAAACTTCATTTCAGCTGAAATAAAAGCAAAATGTAAATAAAACTACTGAAACAATCGTGTATATATAACATGACACAGTTTGACGGTATATAATTTCCCCGGATGCATGGCTCACATAATATAATGTGATATTTAAACCCTCAAGGTTGTTTCCGTGTGTACGTTATAGGAATCGCTTTCATCAACCCATTTAACCATGCAGATTCTACGTAATACAGAGATGTTGAAGTAAGGCCACCGAGATAATTTTTATGTGACAAATTTCTGACTTTTATATACCCCTTCATAGCAAGAGTAACGCATCGGAATGGGGGCTTTGCGACACGAATATAGATAATGCCGACGAAAAAACAATAACTAAGACATGTATTAGAGCATAATTATTACAACTGATACAATCTGATACATGATACAATTACCATCACAAGTTTTGCCTTCATCGGTTGTACTGAATCCATCACCACATAAACAACTAGGCCCAGCAATAGGATCATTTATACAAATCTGATCACAAGCAAATTCGTCACATTCACCTACAAATAATGAATCTAGGTCAATTCTGGGATAATTTAAAGAAATCTGACCACATCCTAACTAAGAATGGAACTGATACAGTTCTAGAATTATTTACACAAACAACGTTAAATAATTAGAAATAATAAATTATTAAGCATATAAACGGCATTAAGTTATTATGTACATATGCTGTAAATCTGCTGGAAGATTCAGAAACACCTTTTACGATATTCCGGGGTGTGTGTGTGTGGGGGGGGGGGGACTGGTTACCGCGTGCACGTTGTATCATAAGGTCTATCATTGAGTCAACTGGCGTGGTTTCGATTCCCCGGTTTTACGTGACAAGGACCCCGGTTTCCTCCCACTGCTAAAAACCCGTACGCGCAAGCCAATTATTGAAATAAAATTGAACCATATGTTAGTCCCGATATGACCCCCTCCCCATCTCTCTCTCTCTCTTTACAATATTCCAGAGCAAGATATTTAAAAACAAAAGATAAACTACTTACTGGAATCACCTACTTGTGAACCTTCGTCATACATTATAATAGCATACGGTATATAAGTTAGTTTATAACTAATGTAATTATTGCCAGTATTTTTATCAAATATTTTCAGATGACCTTTACTTTGTTCTGTAACAAATACGTATTTCTGGAAAAGAAGACAAACAAACAATGAGGTTTTTCCTTCCGAACGATCACCATCATCATAAACCGATCACCATCAGCATACCACCATCACAAAAATATACCCCATGTTCAACATTAACTTTACTACCACATGTATATGTACCACCACCTACAAGTATGATGATTATTCTATCCATGATGGTATTCATGTCGATGATGGTGATAGTGTATAATGTTATTGGTGGTATTCTGATGACAATGCAAAAGCTTCTGTTGATAGTGCGATGTTATTGATACTGTACAGGGGCTGTAATGATATTTATTGTTATCGATAGTACTGATGATAGTTCATCAGAAGCTATTGACAATAATATATATGCATGTAGTTAGGATTGGAGATAATAATACGCTGGTTATAGTTCAGAGGATGTTGATGATGATATTCTTGGTGGATACTGCTGCTGATGATGGTGCAGTTAATGTTGGTAGTATAAAGTTTTGGGTAGCAAATTAAGAAAGTTGTATTGGTTACTGTTGTATAATAAAGGTGGTGATTAGCAATGCGGTTCGCAAAAATATTTTAAAAAAACCCCTAGTTCAAATGCATCTCCTGTAAACGTATTACTTAAAACATTAACTTACATCGTACTGGGCAATAGCATAGAAATTGCTACCATCTTGTGTCACAATTGTTTTTCTATCCATACCATTAAATGCAACTGACTCTATAGTATCTTTTTTACTATCCACCCAAAATAATCGATTTTCTTTGTAATCGATTACAACGCCACGCGGATGATAAATATCAGTATCTACCAAAATTCTTCGATTCTGACCTAAAAGATCAGCAAGTTCAATTCTTGGTCTTTCACCCCAATCTGTCCATATAAGGTATCTACAAAATGATATCAACATTTTTTTAATATATGAATAATCTGAAGGTTCTGCACTTGGTCTCTGTGTTAAAATTGTACTTTACATAGCAATGAAAACAAATTATTAAAAGTCACATAAAATCCTAAAAAAAAAATGACTTGTGTAACTTTGTGTAAGAGGTGCAAGCGAAACCTTATTTGTGTGGTCATGTTCAAAGGTTTATGACGGATTGGAATAAATATCTAGGCGGAAGCAAGAATACACAGCATTTCTCTAATATGATCTAGCCATACATTAATAGAATACTAGACGATTTGCTTGTATATCTACCCTAAAATAGGGAGGACTATTATCTTTCCACGAACCAGTTTTGAAAGAGGCGACATTATTATATTCATATTCAATGACACAATTGCCGTTTGTACGTGTGTTTCCAGTTCAATTAGTAAATGCCATTGAATCACTTTGTATTTAAGATTGAAAAATCACAAAACATTTGGAGAAGAATGGGATTATCTATCTACAATATCTTAAATTCAGAATTTAAAAAATCCAATTAGACAGATTTACCCTTTGTGTGGGTGAACAGCTATTCCGTGTGGATTATCCAAACCGTCTTGAACAATTATTTTATACGATGAGACATTGCTTTTTAATGGAGCCATTTTAATCCAATTAAATAAAGAGTCGGTCCAATACAGATTATTAGATATCCAATCCACTGCTAGTCCTTCAACATCCGGTGATACGCCGGACACCATTTTATTAGTGTCTGTGGATCCGTTTAAAACTAAACTCTGAATATGTTTATTCATAGATTCACTCCAATAAAGCGTTTGTGTTGAATACTGGTAGGCAAGTGCCTTAAATTCCCAGCCAGAATGTGGAGCACTGATGTGGTGAACCTTGACTGTACCCGTCGTTACCCATTCAGCTGGATCACCTTCGATTCCCACCAGCCTCGACACAGAAAATCTCTTCGTGGGAGTCTGGGCCCAGATCAGGTTTTGTCCATGACGAACTGTAAAAAAAGCATATAAGAGATTAAGAATCTGATAGTGCATATTATTTCTGTCCTGTAGCAAGTTTTTCGTAATATATCAAATGATTATATTTGTACCACTGAAATGTCCGCGAAATATTGACATGCCGTACAGAAGTTAGGGGCAAGGCGTGAATATTTGCGTTTAACATATGGAGCAAACATTTTCAGACAACGCTATTTTTTTACATTTCGACGTTCGATATCAGAAGTCGAATATAGTAGGGGCGGCAGCCTCCGATCCGAAATTATTTTTGAAGATCTCCCACTGAAAGAAAACTTGATGTGCAACCCCTTAGGCATGGTCCCCGAGTCCTGTGGAGGGGCCCACGAACCGGAGTCGCCCTGTCTTCTGTGTCCAGTCGAAAGGCACACGAATCTCCAAACAAATTACTCATAAAAATACTCGAATTTAGCATTGAAATAATTTTTCACTCAATCTCTGGAGACCCTCTAGCTGGCGAAGGCCATTTTTCTTTTGTAAACTTTGTTTCTGGTGAGCCACTGTCCAATTACAATCCTCCATCTACATGTATATCAAAAATATACTTTTTAGGCAACAAAACCCCCAGCGGTTGCCAGGCAAGATACGCCCACATTTTGCAAGAGATGGGCTGAGGACAGGCTAAGAAAAACTATGATTTTTTGTACAAGTTACGGTCTGATATGCATAAATATCGAACGGAACCGAGATTCTTTGAATAAATGTATTGTAAGTTTCATCAAGATCGGATAAAAACTGTGACTTCTAGAGGGCCCACAACCATGGTATTACATACTTTTACACTATTTGCGTACATGTAGCAGCCATTTTGTCAAGCAGTTTCTTGTTACATCTAGAGGGTCCACAAGTTAAAATCAGGGGCCATAATCCAGGAAGTTACGTTCCAATATGCGTGATGATTGAGAGGAACAAAGACCTTTGTGATATAAATATACATTTCAAGTTTAATCAAAATCGAATAAAAATTGTGACCTCTGGAGTGTCCACAAGCGAAAAATGTGATTTTTCGTACATGCGAGGGTCATAATCCATGAAGTTACGGTCCGATACATGCCAATTGCGAAAAGATCTGAGATCTTTGGGAGGAGATACACCTATATTTCAAATTTCGTTAATATCGGATAAAAATTGTGACCTGTTGAGTGTCCACAAACAAAATGTGAACGGACACACGGACGGACAAGGGCGACGACAATATACGTCCACATGAAAATGTGGGCGTATAAAAAATGCCTATTGCTCGGTAATCGTGGTGAGTTCAGCAAAACCTTGCTAAAGAAACCCTGTGGTTTGAATAAACTTGACATGTTCTTGTTATCATTGTATTCGGTGAAATAGTGAACAGTTCAAATTGAACGACAGTCGTTTATGCCTCTAGCCTGGAGGTCGGGTGTTCGATCCCTGCATTGGCCGAGAAAGTTCATTCAGATTTTCCGGCGTGGTTTCCCTATTGTCAGTGATGCAGGATGGAGGGCCTGGCAAGGACAGCTGTCTAGTCGTTCGGATGGGACGAAAAACCGAGGTCTCGTGTACACATTGGCGTGCACGTAAAAGATCCCATGGCAGTTGGAATTCGATATATGATTAGGCCCTAGTGCCGCTGCCCAGGCAAAATTTCCCTCATAGCACACTGTATGGCGTATGCCCGTCTTCATTAGCCCAGTTTAGGAGCAGAACAGTAGGACGTTAAACCCCATTTCATTTCATTTCATTCGTTTAAGCCTTCTTAGTGGATTCTACACGTATTTTAAATTATTATTTTGTCGTTTGTGAATCAGCCTTTACTTCCACATTATGTTGTAGGATATGTTTTTATTTGTTCATTACAAAATCACACCCGAAACCATAGGGTACACGACTCGTGTACTGATTATAAATTGTCTTAAATATTGGATATTAGGATCATATAGTTTCACGACAAGATAACAACATCAATATTGATTGAACTTGATCAATATCAAACTCTAATTCGTGTTTTTAATTTCGAATATTATGGAAAATATTGAGTTAGAGACTTAGCTCCTTTAATTTGTTTTTTCGTCAGATATGGATAATGTAATCATTGTATCTAAACCAAAAAAAAAGTGCCCTAAATCTCATCTACGCCAAAGTAATTTATGAAATATTCTGGAAGAGGGCCTCCGTACGCCCCGTCGCTAGGACCCTTCGGAACGAGCCGACCGAATCTTATTATCATTATTGTTTAATTTATGCCGAGATAACATAAAACATATTTCTGTATTCTGACGAATCAATCAATATTAAATAATTATATCATGCAACAGAACTCGATGATTTTAGAAATGATATACAGGCGTATTGGGGGCTTGGGGCCGGAGGCACGAGAATTGTTTTTGAAAAACTGACTGTAACTTTTTGGAGTATATCTCATAAATTCAAGACTAATAAGCGCCCCACCCCCTCTCCCTCAACTACGTGAGAACATAATTTTTTTACGGGTCAAATGGCATACCATACTCGCATGTTCCTTCTTAGTCCATCTATGAAAATATAAACATTTTCTTTTTCTCATCTGTAATATCAATGTTTACTAGCCCACCATTGCGAAATTCAAGCGACATAATATACCGAATATATTTATGAAAACCGTATTAATAACTCAAGCCCCAGCATTTGGTTACTTATATTAATAATACTTGAACACTCTTATGATTAAAATCATATATTATAAGTCTATATAGGTCAAGTTTATTTTAACGCTTACGGCTAGCCCCCGGTTCCATTAACTTGATCTGACACATGCGCTTGTTGTTTGTGGTGTCTGTATATTGTGTCCGTAGGTTTGTCTTGTGTAATAGTTTGTGTGTGGTACACTTATATCTTAACAGTATTTACCATTAAATATAAGTTAATGATATATTAATCGATTCTTGGGTTGTAAAATCACACGGAATGAGTTGGGTTTTTTTTTTATCGATTTTTCGGTTGTACAAGTAGGCCTACCACAATAAAGGGTTTATTAAAGATAAATTATTCTAAAGAGAAACGATTGCGAACCGAACCACCTTTGCATAGTTTTCGGTCACTTATCGTCTTGTTGGTAACAATAATCATCTAATATCTGCAATATAATATCTAATATACAACAGAATTGGACCCAATGCTGATCCCTGTCGAACTTCATATTTCAGTTCGGCAATTTTAGATTTTTTATTACCAATTCTCTATGTTTAATTTATGGTCTTATCAGTGCCAGAAATTAGTCCACTATACCAAAATCTGACCATATTCTATTGTATAGGATATCTTGATTGATAGTGTCAAACGCAACTGATAGATCAAGATGAACCAGCAGAACACACTCTTTTTATCAAAAGAGAGTAAAATAGCATTCTGCACTCGCACAAACGCACAGACGCAGTTTTAGTGATATAAATATAGATTCTTGACCTTTGATTAGAGCGGATAGGAAGCACTCGTGTACGGTATTTCGGTTTCATTTAACATTATTCCATTATTAATGTAAGAGTTTTAATGTTGCTATGTCCTCGATACAAATACCTCTATGGATTGAATAGCATTATTTGAATTTATTTTGTTTAGTTGTTCATTTATGAAAGAATCATCTTGAACGGAAAGGCATACGGGGGGGGGGGGACGAAAACCCAGACCCCGTGTATACGTTACGTTAAGGATTCCTGACAGCGCCACTGTCCAGGCAAAAATTCCATCATACCACAATTACGTATGTCCGTTCCATTACTAACCCAATTGGTGCAGAAAAGTCAGGCGCTGAATCCCGCTGTTTTTTTCATTTCTCTCTCTCTGGATTGCGGGGTCAGAATTGGATTCATTCGCGGCTGTGTGAAAGCCCTAGATGTACCATTTGTTTTCTGAAAGCTGTCTTTGCTAGTCACGACTGACTTCAGGTAGACATGATAAATTTTGTTTCTAAACTCTTACAGAAATGTTGACTGAAGTTTGGAATGATTTTTATTCTTGGTTTCGTTAAAAATCCCCAAGGGAAGATTTTTTTAAATATTTAATTATGTGGAGATTTTTAGATATGGTGGGGGTTTGTTGAACATACAGAATAATGTATTAGTGTCGGAAAATCTACAGAATGAAATAACGTATTGAGTTAATTTAATGTATTTTTCGATACTGCCTATTGTTCATTTGATCATTTTTGAAATAATAATACTATTAATAGAAATATATAGGCCATATGTATCTGTTCAGATCTGTCTATATGTGGTCATCGTACATAACTTGTTTGTTGATATAATTTTTAAAAAAAAGTAGGGGATATTGAAATGCAAATACCTATGCAGGTTGTGATATGATAAATAGTCATGGACACTTGACATGCTTTGAGAGTATGTTCACAAATGAAGAACTTATCGCCCCAATAGCGCCATACACGTGGGAGGGGTTCATTGTCAAATTTGACACTTCAAGGAAGGGTTGATGAAAACTGCCGCTTGCTGGTTTATCCTATCCATGTTTGCTTTCCTATCGGTTCTTGCATAAGATTTACTGTTTAGCGTATCTTTGCTTTAGTGGGTTACGTTTAATTTGATCGGGAGACGTGTTCGTCGACGTCAACGTCAACCGACAACACTGCAAGAATTGCCGTGGCACTGTAAGAGGAGTGGGTCAGATTGCCTCATATCGTGATTGGACGGTTGATTAAGAGCATGCTACGATGAATTACTGAATGTCTGAGGATTGGTGGAGCAATTACTCATTATTAAGACAAAAATAAAAAAAAACGTCCATTTTCACTTTTGACAGTGTATCTCTTTGCGAGTGAAATGGGGCCGTCAGATAAGCCGCCCATATGAACTGTTTATGTTCATGTGTAGGCAATTGGCCTGTTATTAACATACACTGGTTATCTCTAATAAAACAGCAGTGCATTTCCGCAGTTTTGTATTGTTTCTGAATATCCCCTACTTTTTTTAAGAGTATATGTTAATGTTTGAATTTTATAGATTATCTTGTGTCTAGAACGACCTCACCGAACACAGCGACGTGACAATTTTTTTGTAGTTTTGTATTTCAGTCAGTGATTGGACTTTTAGGCAACAGACATTGTTTTGTAAATAGAATAATCCCTTAAAAATTGTCTCGTTAAATTTTGATTTGATTGGTCAATTCTTTTTAACAATGAAATTAGAAGCTAATATATTTGAATGGACCAGTATTAAGAAAGGACAGCGTTAGTGTAATGCGATTCTTTTACAAAACGTTACAAGCAAGCTAGAGCAAAGCGTGACCAAAATTTCTGAAAAAGAAATTGGGTTTTACGCACAGGACCGTCGACTCGCTCGAACACCCGCCGCACCCGTCATTACTACGCCAATGCATAAATGTGTCACGTGTATGAAGGCATAGTTAAATATAATTTAGAAATAAAATTACATATCAAATTTATTTTTAAAGTATTAAATATAATTTAAAAAAATTACATATCAAATTTATTTTTAACGTATAACTTTAAAATAAAGTGTCTCCCCACCCCCACCCCTCCCCAAAAATCAAACCAAACGGAAAATAAAAACTATATTAAAATCAAAGCCTTCAGAGAGAGGTTTAATATAGGCCAAAGTAAAATTGAATTACAATATAAGTAAAATCAAATAAACTTAAATTGATTTTATAACCTTATTACAAGATATTTTAATATCACCCCTTGCTCACTCAGCCAACAAACTTTCATTCTACTTTTAATTATTTTGTTTTTATTTTTTTGTTTTGCTTTTTCTATATTCGAAGATAAGTAAACAAATATTTTATAAAATTTTCTAATTAAAACATAAGAAATATGTACAGCTAGTACAAAATACCCGTTGACAAAATTCCCTTGTGTTCAGAACCTCTGTACAGATTGGAGATTAAATGTTTAGGCTATTTAAAACAAAAATAAAAAACCTAAATGTTTATTTATGTGTTTAAAATACAAATATTCAGACACACTTTTGACACCGAACTAATAAAAGGCTTTGGGAGACTATTTTGTAATCATGAACAAACAATACGATAGAAAAAAGGCTACAACATTCGTTGACTGGAGAAAAGAAACTAATTATTAGGGCGTATTGTCACCCATACATAACTTTAAAATAGCACAAAGGAAGTCAATATCGTTATACAAATAGAGAGCATATAAGTTCATAGTTGCGAACTGATTAAATAATCGAACATATTTGAAAGAAATGAAATGAAATGGGGTTTAACGTCCTACTGTTCTGCTCCTAACCTGGGCTAATGAAGACGGGAAAACTAATACAAATTTTCTAAACTGTTCTTTAAATTCCTATACTATTGTTTTAATTATTCCACGGTCTATTAACATTTTATAATGACTTAGTTAAAGTTATTCCACAAAATATTAATATTTTCGTTTTCTTTAATATAATGACTTACATAGTTAATATTATTCCACAAACTAATACATTATCTATAACATTACTTGAAATTACTACACGGGCTATTGACATTTCTAATGTGACTTGCCTAAAAAAAATCATTCAAGACTTAATTGAGGCTAATCATAATGTTCATATTTTCCAATCATTATATGGAAGTCTATCAGTTTCATTGCACGAAATTAATTTTAGAGATTATGTTTCTTTGCAATCCCTTAATTAAAAAGACCTCACTAATTATTTAATAAATAAAAAAGCAAGACAGTAGTGATATGAATATATTAAAAAACTCACTTGAATCACAGCAATTAATAAACAACACGAATATTAAACAAAATCTACAACGAAAATCCATTTTAACAATCTAATAAGTTAACATCATTCATTAACTGTATTACTTCACTAATAAGCAACGGGTGATTAGTCCAAGACAAGTACGCATGCGTGGCCTTTAATTGTTTGGCGGATATGAGCTATTCTTATTCTAAACGATAGTCTATGTACTTCCGACTGGTTTGTTTATCAATCTGACACAGCATGGTACAAACTATTCACTGTACTTTTAACCAGTGGAGTGCACTTTGAATTAGAGAAATGATCCTCTCATATTTACATCAGTTATCACACCAAAATTGACAATGTAAAGTGGTAACTATTTAATTCCATACTCCTCGTCCTTCGAGTCGGTACTCTTAACCGTTTACATCCCTTCTTTTAGTGATTTTCAAATAGTTGGTCGGTGGCATTCATATGTCTACAAAAGCGGGGAATTGGCCCTATATAGACCTGGAACCCAGAGGGTCGAACCTAGACGAACGAGGTACCAATGTCTGACCATATAGCCATCTACATACTAACCTGGGATCATACTAAATGGGCATCTGCCAGGGTCCAGTTCCTGGGCGTGACCATTGTGGCCCCTAGAATGCCCCTCAAAATGGGAAATACTCATACATTCGAGGTACCGATGGAAACCAATTTTAAATGATATAGTACATCTCACTGAGTACGAAATTGCCCATAACAGATGATTTTGTCCCCGGGATATAGCCCAAACTGACACACTAAATATGGACCCCAGAGGGCTTGGAAAAAGGTTATATTCATACATTAGAGGTACCAGATGAAACTAATTTTAAATGAAAGAGTATATCCCACTTAGTACGAAATTTCCCATAACAGACGATTAGGCCCCTGGGATGACCCAAACTGACACCCCAAAGCCGAGGGGAGTGGGGGGGCTAAAAATGGGTTATACTCATACATTCGAGGTACCGGTCAAAACAAGTTTTAAATGAAAGGGGGCATCTCACAGAGTACGAAATTGCCCATAACAGACGATTTCGGCCTTGGGATGGCCCAAACTGACACCCTAAATACCCCCCCCCCCCCGCTGGGCTTGAAAACATTGAAAAAAGGTTATATTCATACATTCGAGGTACCAGTTGAAACTAATTTTAAATGAAAGGGTATATCCCACTGAGTACGAAATTATCCATAACAGACGTTTGGACCCCTGGGATGGCCCAGACTGACACCCAAAAGATGAGGGGAGGGGGAGCAAAAATGGACTACACTCAAACATTCGAGGTACCGGTCAAAACTAAATTTAAATGAAAGAGTACCTCTCACTGAATACGAAATTGCCCATAACAGACGATTGTGGCCCAGGGACGGCCCAAACTGAAACGCTAAATGTGCCCCTCCCCCCCCCCCCCCGAACCTTAAATTTATTCTGTTCATACATTCGAGGTAACAGTTGAAAGTAATTTTAAATGAAAGTGTACACCACCACGACATTAAAAATGTCGTAATGTCGCTTAATAACTTTACCCGGATAGCGGCGCTACGGCCTACTCTCCATGAAGATGGTATTTAACACTATTAATGGGAAACCAATTAACCAATATTAATTTAAAGAGGTTGTGTGTAGGGTGTGTGTGTGGGTGTGGGTGTGTATGTGGAGGGGAGGGGGTATGATCTTTTATGGGCCATTTCGTATTCAGTGTGGAGTACACTTTCGTTTAAAATAAAATTAGTTACAACTCGTACCTTGCATGTATGTATATAACCATTTTTAAGCCCGGGGGGGGGGGGGCATATTTACGGTGTCTGTTATGAACAATTTCGTACTCCGTGAAGTGTACTCTTTCATTTAGAATTGGTTTTGACCGGTACCTCGAATGTATGAGTATAACCAATGTTTTGCCCCCTCGTCTTTGGGGCGTCAGTTTAGGACATTTTAGGGTTCTAATCGTCTGTTAGGGGAATTTCGTACTAAGCGGGATATACTCTTTCATTTAAAATTAGTCTCAACTGGTATCTCGAATGTATGAATATAAGCTTTTTTTAAGCCTTCTTGGGTCCATATTTCGGGTGTCAGTTTGGGCCATACCAGGGCCAAAATCGTCTGTTATGCGCAATTTCGTACTCAGTGAGATGTACTCTTTCATTTAAAATTGGTTTCGACCGGCATCTCGAATGTATGAGTATAACCCATTTTAAAGGATGTTCTAGGGATCACCAGGGCCACACCCTGGAACTGAACCCCGGGAGACGCCCATTTCTGTACATCCCGGGTGGCTATATAGTCAGATATTGGCACTTCGTTCGTCTATAGGTTCGACCCTCTGGGCTCCTGGTCTATATATGGGTTGGGGTTTTGGCACATTAAGGGGACAAATTCGGACATTTTTACACATTTTCGACTTTTACAAACAACCACCGCCCTGGATCCGTCCCTGAATGACGTAATAGATTTCAAATATTTGGTCGGTCTGGTATGTGGTCAGTGTTATTCAGGTGTCTTTAAAAGAAAAAAAGGAAGAGATGATGGCTCATTTACGGGACAATTTTTAACATTTTCGTGTAAAAATTGGCGTGCACGTAAAATAACCCTTGGCCACTGTTCCTCGCATGGCACACATAAACCATAGAAATGTAAATTACCCTAAGTTAGTGTGAAAATGACATTGGTATTGTGTGACACTTTAATCCCCATTCCATGGCATGTAGCTCGATCACGTTTCAGACTTTCCTTTACGATATGCGTTCAATGTGTTCAGTATAAGGTCAATAAATTTGGACTTCACAGCAACATCGCAATTATGCTTTACCGAAAACAAATTATAAGAGACAGATTTATTTAATTATAGCGTTAATAATTAAGAAACATGTATCTATATCCTGAAACAACCTGACAATTGCGTATATATTTAATACAGGTCAATGGTATAAGTTAGAGTATCGCCAGTCTATATCCCCTTGAAAAATTTTAGATTTATCGGTCAGGACATTCATTTTCCGCATTGGTGGGTAGTAGTTGTTTTCTTGTTTCTTGAATTCAAAAGACAATTGAAAATCTCCCCATTGTAAGAATCCAATCCTTAAATATGGCGACAAGGATATGGCTGGCGTCGTCATTTTTAATTATATCTTCATTTAAAAGAGCTAAACCTATTTAATCTTGTTCAAAATAAGTACAGAGTTGGTGTATCATTTCAATTAGTCATGGGGCAACCTCTTCCGCATGCAGCCCGGTAGATGGTTATAGAGTACAATTTCAATTTTGCTGGATTTGATTTTGCACCAGGTTCCTTACGTTAGCAGGCGTTCGAATCCCATTTGATAAAATTCTAGAGACCCCGTTCGGGACTTCCCCGTAAATCCCAAGAATTCCTTGCTGCAATAAAACAGTGGTTGTTGATTTATTCTTACAGATACAGTACTGGGTTTCGGGCATCTTTTAACACGGAAGGGACATATTTGTCTGTAGAGTATTCATAGTCTATGGATTACAAATCCTTATAACACCATTCTCTAAAAAAAAATACCAATATTTATTTGTAAAAAAAATGTAGTTACATTCACTTCCTGTCCAATTTAAAAACAATCTTCAAAGTCGGCTTTCCAGACAGAAAAGGTACTTGCATTGGTGGACTTTCCATATGGGCATTTGGGAAATGTCAACTAAATAAATGGGCCGCTGATTTCGATACAAATACTACCAAAAAACAATGAATTATGGACCGTCTTAGTAGGTGTAGGATGCCGATGGCAGTTTTAAGGTCCAGTCCGCTATTACCTTCTTGTAACATTTTTAGTGTCGATTACAGGTTTATCTTTTCTGATAGATCTAAGCAACGTTTAACTGATAGTAATTGTAGAATGATACAAAACTTAATAAATACAAATTGCACTGTCTCTTCGACCCACCGGGTAGCTCAATGAGTAAGGCGCTGACTTGCTATCCTTGAGTTCCTCAGGATTTTCCGGCAGACTTTCGCCTTTGTCAGAGGTTCATCGGTTGGCGGACGCCATGCTCGGTTCCTGGTCCATATAGCACGCTTGCACGTGTTTTCATTTTGAACTGCCGGATATTTCACAACGAAGTGAATGTACTTAAAATTACCAAGAAATACTATGTGATGGTAATATAAGAAGGCGTTTGTTTTAAAGATTTCTGATTTGTGCAAGAGATTGGTAGTCCACAAGGGAGCCACGGTGGCTGAGTGGTAAAGAAGCTGGCTCGCTAGCCTGGAGGTGGCGTGTTTGATCCCTGCATTGGCTGACAAAGTTCATCGGGATTTTCCGACGTGGGTACCCATTGTCAGTGGTGCAGGACGGGGGGCCTGACAAAGGCAGCTGTCTAGTCGTTCGGATGGGACGAACAACCGAGGTCCCGTGTATACATTGATATAAGAGTAGGTCATAGTGCCGCTGCCCGGGTTAAATTTACCATTTTCATTAGCCCAGACGGAACAGTGGGACGTTATAGACCCCATTTCATTTCATTTTGTATTTCCATGTGTACAAAAAAACCGCTGTAAAGTTTGGGGAATCCAATGTAAATGACGTCATAGATGCGGATTTCTCTTTACAGGTTGATTGACTTAGTGGAAGAGAACCAATTTTTGTACACTAGAAGAACCGCCAGCGAAAAAGTCGCAACTTTTTTTTTCTCGCACATTGAAACACTTACATTGAAACACTTTTTCGCGCATTAGTTATAGTGCGTTAATCAAATACAGTTATCATTGTATGATCAGATGCGAATGAAATGGTATTTAACGTCCTACTGGGCTAATGAAGACGGGCATAGGCCAGAAATTACTACGAGGGGAATTTTGCCCGAACACCGACACCACGGCCTACTATTGTATTGAATTCCATCTGTCTAGGGTTCTTTTTCGTGCACACCAATGTGTACGCAGGATCTCGGTTTTTCTTCCTATCCAAACGACTATAGTACGTTGTTCCATACCAGGCCCTCCGTCTTACACCACTGACAAGAGGGAACCAAACCGGAAAATTCCGATGAACTTTCTCGCCTAATACCGGGATCGAACAGTGAACGCCTTGGCTAGCGAGCCAACTTCTTACCCACCGAGCAACCGCGGCTTCCATGACCAAATGGACACAGTCTCTGCTAACTCTACATTCACAAGAAATTGCACACTGACCAATCCGATTAAAATCAGTTTCGTTTTTTTTTTTTGGTGTACTTTATTGACAAGACTAATCTCCAACCTATGGAGATAATAGTCATCTCATGATACAATCTGTTTCACGGAGATTTTTTTAATATCTCTGTTACAGATGACTGTTTCGACACGTGACGTCACATCACGCGGCGTCCATCATTGGCTCAATAGCGCGTGCATTGTTTACATAAGACGTCACGGATTCGGGCTAAATGGTGAATTTTACTTATTTTAATACCCGTTTACACTAAATAGGAAATGATTTTTACCTACAAACAATTCAAACGACTTTATTTATTTTTCTAATAAATGAAAAAAAAGTTTCAGAATTTAATTTGTCGAAAGAAAAAAGTTAATATTTTGTAGTCATTAAGTCGCATCGATGTCATCCTTATCAGTGATTGTAGAGGCCAAGCGAATATTCACTGCGGATCAGTGTGCTCATGATATAGTACAAGTGTGACCAGGTTTTGTCTTTTTTGACTTGACAAAGCGAGGAGAAATCAAATGTTTGGAATTTCCCATAATGATTGACATTGTAATTAATTATACCACTGACACAGGACGTAACATATACTGGTCGCATGCCGCCATATTTCCGAGGTTCATTAATAATTGTCACACCTGACAGCAATTATGAGTTATTGTTTTCATTGGTCCACTAGGTCGTTGACAGCATAATAAAATAGGTACTCAACGGATATCGGCATTTTTTTTATGGAAGGGCATCGCTGCCAATATTAAATGCTCTGCTAGAATGTCTTTTCTATTGATTATATGTAAAAAGTACAATGTACAAAGTCATAATACCGGTAATGATAAAGTCAAAATACCTCTAAGGCAAGAGTTAAATTTAAAACGTCAAATGTTAAGTGTTAAATGACAAATGTTTTCTGGGAAAATGCTTTTTTGACGTGTCTACATTTTACATTTCTCTCATTACATTTTAAATTTGCTCTCTGCCACATCCCATTTGTCCTTCACGCATTCTACATAGCATGTTTCGCACAGCATCAAATTGCACAGCATCAAATTGCACATGCAAATGTAGGATATCAGGTGACTGATTAACATACGGAAACCTGGCACACTATAAGCCAGAACAAGGATATCCACGACACTATAATATGAAATCAGCCTAGCACACAATAAAAATTTACTCACCTTGACACTTTGGATGGCACTTTATGATGATTACGGGGGGAGGGGGGGGGGTCTGTGCAATGTCCAAATACGAAATTTCAGGTATCATGTTATATATTAGTGAAAATCACATTCATTTCTGTTTGTAAATATGTAAATAGTTTTCTGGTACAATCGTATTTTCATAATTTAAATCCAATAAATATCACACTATTAAAGGGGTATTCAAGTAAAAATACTGGTCTAAATACGAAATTCCAGATACCATGTTAAGTATCACGGATTGCTCCTTTCAAATATGCAAATAATTTTCAGGCACATTCATATTTGCTTAACTTTACAAAATAATATTAAAGTTGAAGTGAAGGAAGGGGGGGGGGGGCGTCAACTAAACTAAAAAAAAGATACAGGGCTTAATCAAAAATTCTCTATGTCCATACTAAAAGATGTATAGTCATTCCTCTCTTTAAATATATTATTTATTTGTTGGGCACAATGCTTATATATTGTTGTTTTTTAATGGATCAAAGTAGGCTACTCAACTCTGTTTATAGAGAGACCGGAAAGAGTGGGGGTGTTTAAAATATAAAAATACGGGTATTAATACGAAATTCCCGTTATTGTATTATAAATTACTGGAAAGTATGTTTCTTTGGCTGCTTGAATCTATCAATTATTTCCTGGCACATTCAAAATTACGCAAGGTCGTCTAGATATTTTCTTATGGTGTGCCAGCTTGATTTCTTTTGGTCGTGCGGTGAATATCCTTATAGTGTGCTTGTGCCGGGTTTCCATATATGTTAATAAGTCACGTGATATCCTACATTTGCATATGCAAGTTGATGTTGTGCGAAAGTTGCTATGTAGAAAGCGTGAAGGACAAATGGGATGTGGCAGAGCGCAAATGTAAAATGTAATGAGAGAAATGTAAAATGTAGACACGTCAAAAAAAGCATTTTCCCACAAAACATTTGTCATTTAACACTTAACATTTGACGTTTAACATTTAACTCTTGCCTTCGAGGTATTTTGACTTTATCAATATCGGTATTAGGACTTTGTACATTGTACTTTTTACATATAATCAATGGAAACGACATTGTCGTAGAGCATTTAATATTGGCAGCGATACCCTTCCATTTTTTTTCACTTCCAATGCATTAACAGAGAAACTCAGAGGTCTAGGGTCATGGTGGGACAGTCGCAAAAAAAGGCCGAATGTCGTTTGAGTAAGTAAACTGGGAATCTGTGCAGAATCCTGCCCAGACATCAGTGCGACTTTGAACCCGTTTATTTAAACCTTGGCTATGAGTAGGCTCATCTTTCGTGGTCTAGGATGCGAGACCATCGCGAAAAGTTTGCAGTTTCGCACACTTTTCTCTATACAGTGCTTAAATGTATATCGGTTTGATTCCTAAAAATTGTATGTATATGCTTGCTTAGACTACCATGAATGAAGGTAACAGACAATTCTTTCTTTCTCCCTTTTCTCAATTTTGTTGCTTGTTAGTTTTTGTGGAAAGGTCGGGGAGTATAAATAGGGATATTTCCTAATGAAATGACTTCACCCCCAAACCAAAAACCACCCATCAATATTTATGATTGTAACATGTTGGACTCTTTGTGTTTTAACATAAATGAATGCTTTCGGCTAAGAAAAGTCATGGTGGATTTAACAATGAAGACAACGGGAATAGAATTGCTAATCTTAGACCATCAGTGTAAGTGTAGTAATGGTTAATGATCTGATACTGACCGTAACCATTGCTTGATGAAAAATATACGGTGCATTCGAAATTAAAAACAAACTGTTTTATATAACAAAACATTTTACTGAAATATAAAATATATATAATATGTAATATAGGTATTTATATTATCAATAATCGCGGAGAGAGAAACAGATGTCGCTGTAAGTCACAACAAAAGCATAAAGTATTGTACTAATTATATATAACATCTATCAAATATAAAAATCTATGTATATAACTAAACTATACGGAATAGACTCCGGAAAAAAATAACAGAATATATTATGTAGAGGAAGCATCTTATATATAAACAGTACACAGGGACACTAACAAAATACCACGATGGGGGTCGAGACTAACTTGTATATAAATAGAGACCCTTTTTCTTGGAGATGTAGGAAGATTTTATTATTTTTGAAAGATCTCTCAGAAATCAAATTAAGCTTGAAAAACAGCAGGAAAATATTATAAAATTTTCTCCGACTAAAGTCCGCAGTTTTGTTTCTGATTTAAAATTGAAGGCTAAATTGTTGTTTGATTTTCTTAGATTTCAATCATTCGCAAACTCGGAAATTGACCCTTAATTATAAATTCCACACATTCCATAAAATACAAGAAAGGCAAAATTTTCCACTTATCTATTTTAGTAAGAGTAAATAGAAATAAATGCCTACAATGATAAAGATACGTGATCACAAAAGATGGTTTTCGCAAAATTGTCCAAAACTCATGCTTTAAACTTAATACAGATGCCAATGAGGTAAGTAATATTATGAGTATATTCTACCCTTATAGTATGATATGTTCCACTCGTAGAAGGCCAGAAATAATAACTATTGAAATCATATTAAATTACTCTTAGTATAAGAGTAAAGTGGTAAATTTTTGATCAATTGCATCTTCAATAGTTTTTTTAAAATAATATGATGAAATGTTCATTTACATAGTAAATTAGTTCTATTCTATGGCCAGCGGACAATAATAATAAATGTAAGCTAAACGCGTATTCCTAGTTCAAAATGTTGCTTTATCGACACAAGCTTTATATCTCGCCTGGGAGAATGATTAAACAATATTTTAAATACAGGAATCTATTCCAGTTTTACAAACATTCATTGAAGTAGCTAAGTCTCTAACTCAATATCATCCAAAATCTTCAACATTGAAAACACGATTTATTTGTCAAATTAAATCAACATTCATGTTGTGATCTTACCGGAAAAAGATGGGCTTTTGATATCCAATATTTAATACAAAATAAACATTTTACCATTGGTACATGAATCGTGTACCATAATGCGCTTCAGCCCCAGTTGCACCAAGAGACTCGAGGGACGAGGCTAGACACATTGCACCAAATCAAACGGCGTATGTAGAACTGGAATAACCAGACGCTAGAAATTTGCACTCGCTTGAGACTGCTGGCTTATTTCGCCGAACATAACTGATTTGAAATTGGAGTAAAAACGGAAACCATTGAATGTTAATCAGTTTATATACATTCATATTACAGTATTATATGCGTTGCGATCCACTTTTGTCAATTTCTAGGTCCCAAATGTTAGCGATTTAGCTCCTTTAATATATACATTGTAATGTAGAAATAGACGTTATATTGCATTAACTGTTTTTGGTTCTTGTATAGTTTTAATAGGCGGCGTTTTGAATTTGTGGAATTTCATTGGAAATGTTTGTGAAAGTAACCAGATTTTGAAAAGATTAGACATTTTCAAAAGTTGTCTGTGCGCTAATACCTTAAAATAATTAAAATGCTTTCATCGTTTAGACACCATTTTTAAAGGCTCTAATGGCCGAGAGTTTCGATTTGACATGATCCAGCTTCTCTACGACTATTTTATTTTCGGGGTCAATATCTAAAGCATTGGCATCATTGACAACTCTAGCTTTAATGAACCCTCTTACAATGGCTTCCGTAACATGGACTTTTTCATTTGTAATATTGTTGGTATATTCTCCTGTATTTCTATTTAAAATTCCGCTATTAATGGCTTCGGCGAATGGAATTTTTCGATGTTGTTTTTGGTCAACGACTGCGTTAACGGCGTACGTTTTGGATTCCACCGTCGGTGGGTGGTTGGCATCGGCTTTGTGGTATTCAACGCGAACAAGACCAGAAGAAATAGCATCAGCTACGGACATCTTCTCCCCGTGCTCTGTTTTGTACGTCGACTCGCGAGTGTTGAGGATTTTCTTTTCCACGGCTTGTGCAACAGTGAGATTTTGTTCAGTAGCTGGATCGACAACACTGAGAATCGTGTAGGGACGATTTTCGCGCGTTACTTTTACTGTAATTAAACCAAATTCTTTTTTCTCTTCACGGATCTTAGTTTTAGAGATAAAATCCATGACAATTAATCCCTCGTTCATAGCCTGACTCATGGGAATGGTTTTTCTGGTAAGTGGGTTGGTGTAGGTGCCCTTGGCTTGGTCCACGATGTTCATCATAATAGCTTGCTGGAGACTTAGTCGCTCGTCTGTTCTGGGATCCACGACACCAGTGATGACAAATGTGTGTTGTTCTTCCTCGACGGACGTCTGTACTTGATCAGTAATCGTTTCTTCATATTCCGTGCTCATTGTCCATTCTTCCTCTTCAACTTCCATGGTAGGGGTCATGTGTTCTTTGGGTTTTTCGTGGAGGGTAAGGGATGATTGCTGTTTTTCTAACGGTTGTGTGACTTTCTGCGGTTTAGAATAATCTTCTAAACCAAGATTTGTATCCCAGAATCTAAAAAATAAATCAATAAACATTGTGATAATCAAGGTGAAAACGCTTTAACATGGACTGATCTAATATAACAGCCTGAATTGGGTCTGAAACTCTGAGGGAGTTGGGGCATGGATGGAACATCGCTAAATTCTCAACAGACATAACAGCCCATAAAGTGTATAAGGCATTCTCAAATTATATATTGTGATTGCTCCTTGCAGACAAAACTTTCAAGGCTGGTGCATTCCGGGCGTGAGTTGAGGACGGAGGACGATGGTGGGGGAAGAATGGTCTAACGCGTGCGCTTTAGGTCATAAGGCCTGTTATTAAGTCAAGTGGTGTCGTTTCGACCCCACATGTGACAATAAGTAGGGTTGTCTGCCCAACGTCGTGGGATTTCTCCAGGTCCTCTGGTTTCTTCCCACTGCTAAAGACCCTTACATGCAAGCGAATGATTGAAATAAAATTGAACCCGTTATTTTATTCCCTAAATGCATTCTAAAGTGAACTCAATATCAGATTTCCCCGTTTACCGCACATAGAGTTGTTTGGTTCTGTTTACAATAACAAGTATGTACTTACGTAACAAAGTGGGCTGTTGTAACATATCTAAGTTGTTCCCATTTATCACATACCAACAGATATTTAGGTTGACGTAATAACTCAACAACAGTTCTATTAGTTTCCCAGTAAGCCCAGAAATCCTAAACATAAATAATATGTCGTTACAAAACAAAAGTATAACGGAAAGGGTCAGATATTTAAATTGCGTTTCACTTACAGAAAAGAATTTAGTGTTATGAACCAATTATTCAAATCAGTATTATCCGTTTTTCTTTGGTTGGTATTCATGTGTTCGGGGTAATTATTATCTATTTAAGGGTTATTCAGGGTATTTAAATTATTATTACATGTATTTGTATTTATTTTATGATCAGTAGTGGAATACCGCGTTTTATTAGTGAAATAAAAGTGTTATTCCACTGGCTAGTTGTTTTTACCTAAAATGATGGTAAAATCATAAAATAAATAGAACATTTGTCGTTTTGTCGTGAATAACATATTTTATTTCATCTCTAAGCAAGAAAACGATTATATTTTCACTCATGCTATTCGTGAAAATATAAGTTTTCTTGCTTCTCGGTGAAATAAAATATGTTATTCACTCTAAAACGACAAATATCATCTATATATACTCAGTATTTCTGAAACAATCATTAACTTTATATAACCTACCTGGTATTTATTTAACAATTGTTCTAGATATTGAATTTGTACCACAACCGTAGATATGGTGGAAGGGTCGGATTTATCGGCTTCAGGCGCTTCTTCAATAATAGTTCGTAAACGAAGAATTCTTTCTTGAAGTTGTTCAAAATCACCGTAACCATCCCAGTTCTTAATAAGAGTGTCTTCTAAATATTTCAATATTCTTAATAACTCTAGTTTGTCTTTTTTTGACATAGCCTGTAACGCGGAAATCTGAAGAAAGATAAACGATTAATAGTAACAAGTTATAATGGGCTACTCTTTCCTAGGAAGCTTGCATGAAGAGCCATTCTGTAATGATATCTAACGAAGTCGGTGAACATTTCACCTTGATTGGTAGATTATTAGTATAAAATTGTCTAAAGAGTGATATTTACCTCTTCTGAATTCCAATCTCTGAAGACAAGCAGCATGAATGCAATCATTTGGTAACCTAGACGTTTGACACTGTTTGTCCATAATGCTAGTAGTTGAAGCCGTAACCTACAATATTCATTAACAACAAAGTTTTTAATAAACATACGACAAACCATAAAAGTTAATAAATATACAGTGTAAATGTATATACTATTTCCCTTCAAAATCGGTAATTACTTTCGAATTAACCAAATTCAAGCACAAAAAAATCTAGAGAAAATAAACGAGCTTGCATGTATAAGATTATAGAATTATTTTTAATATTAAGAACCCAGATAAATAAAGATGAGAACATTAAGTCAATAGATAACATTTCCTTGCGTTTTTTACATGTTATGCAGACTCCGATCCTAAACATCGACGGTATTTATGAAATTTATTTCTTAAATTCCACGGAATTATAAAACTACTAAAAGGGGGTTAACCCTTGTTATATATCAAAATAAAGTATTGGGTTTATCTGGGGTTTTAAGGCAAGCACTAAACGATTAAATTCTCGTTTCCAAGGATATGCAAAAGTCGGTTTGTTTACCAATTATGATTTCATTCCATTTCAAGGAATATAAAGTGTCTGAGTTAATAAAAATCAAAAATACAAACATACTTGACAGCGGCATCAACGGCTGGACCAGACGGCCCTGGTAACAATAAAATGACAGCTGGTACATTTCCGATCTGACCGCCGCTGTTTCGTACCTAATAAAAATAAATAATGCATTTAGTTTGGTTTCAAGTCTACTAATATCATAATTTATTATATACTCACATCTTAGTACTTTTATAAATTTTCAAATAGATGATAGATAATAAGAACAAATTGCACCTCGAAAATACCAATAATTTCCCATGTGAGAACTGCATATTTGATCACGTTCTCACTTTTAAAAAAAAAAATTTACTTATTTTAAAACAAATACCTTCCATGATTTTCTATCACTGTTATCTATCAATGTCAAGGAATCGCCTTCAGAAAATGATATCTAAAAACAAAAGAGGGAAACAAAATATAACAATTCTTTTTTTTAATTTTTGGTGGAGTATTTGCTATTGTGTTTGTGTGTGCATATTTTGCTGATTGACGCGCTCTTTTTGACTGAAATCCGATTAACAAATCTACTGGTATCTGATTACCTAATACATGTACATAGCAAATATGACTGGGACCGGAAATCTGTTCTTTCGCAAACGAGTGATAACATCTTTTATCCCAAGAAATCTTACATAAAAACATGTCACACGCTCTTAATCACCCTATGGATAGTAGCCTACATTACAAAGGGGGATAGGGGCGAATTGTTTTAGCGTGCACGTTTGATCATAAGGTCTGTCATTGAGTCAAATGGTGTGGTTTCGATTCGCCGCTTGTATGTGACAAGGAGTAGGGTTTCCTCCCGTTGCTAAAGACCGGGTCCTCTGGTCTACTCCCACTGCTAAAGACCCCTACGCGCTAGCGAATTGTTAAATAAATTGAACTATATGTTAGTCCCGAGATAGCCTAGCTTGTGTCGAGTGACCGTAAAACCTCATTTCACTCTCTCTCCACATTGCAAACATTGGTACTTTCATTGTCAACCAAGCGGGAGGAACCCTAATCACTGAGAACTGGGCTTTAAAAAAATCATAATGTTCTTGATACACGTCCAGTGGATTATTTGATATTTTCTGAAATATTTCTATTCATCTATAATATAATCTCTTGAACTTTTAGCTCCCAACTTTATAAAACTCTCTTAATAAGCAGTGGAAACAAATCGTTTCTATTACTAAATCAACCTCAAGCTAAACAACAATATATTATATTTACCTCTTTTGTGTTGTAATCTGTTAAGGCAATGACTGGGCGTGGTTCAGGTAATTTATTTAATCTGAGCGGTACGGGTACAAGATCTTTACTTCTTTCAAATAAACTATCTACTTTCGATTGCCATTGTAAATATGCTAATAATACATCCTATAAAATAATATCACATAATGACAATAATTCAGATAAAAACTGTCTTGTTAGAATCAGAAATACAAATTATTTGAAAACTTTTATTTATTAATCTATATCAGCAGTACTTTAAGTGACCATTTTACTTTATGGAAGTCAACCCAAAATACACACGGTAAATGATCATCCCCGAGCTTTCCTCCTTCTTGGTGAGGGTGGGGCTGTAACGTTGTCCAATTTCGATTGTAACTGTGCCCTGGACCTAGCAGTAATGCTTACCCTAACCCCAACTTACAATCTCGCCAACAATCACATGCCCTAACCTTATTTACGTCTCAGCGACCTTGACGAAAACCGGAAGTGCTGCACAGGATTGTTATTCAAATGACACAGGGTTTAAAATTATAATAACAGCCCCATCATTAAAAAGCTTGGTTTATGATTTGACTACTATAGTAACCTGGTAAAGAATGAACAAGGATAGAAACGGAATAAATTCATTAAACTTTGAAAAAAAGCAGTAGTGCCCCCCCCCCCCCAATGCTGAATGCTGCAAGAGAGTACATTCAGTAAACAGCATCTTTACAACAACCCCAAAAATTGAATGAAATGTTTAATACCCCTGAATTTTGTGACTTTTGTTCGTGTGTCTAATTATTTATGTGTTGATGTCCGTAGTGTGCGTCTTTGTTTGTTAACAGTTTAGTCACATCACAAGTAAGATATTAATCGAAATGATCATACGTCTACTCATTGCTTGATTCATTCGGAAATTATATTCGAATGTAAATAATCCGGATTTGAACTTTGTATTACATATTATATAAAGAGTGGCCATTGTCACATAAAATTGTCAATTTCCGATATAATTAATGTATTGTCCATGATAAACTTTAAGAAAACTCTTTCATTACTATGACTACAAAATCCCTTTACATTTAATATAACGGGAAATAAAAACTTAATTATGTACATAAATAATTAAAATTGAGTTTGTTTTGTGTGGGTTGTGGGGCTATGGGGTGAAGAAATTGCAAATTAATTATTTTAGCTGGTCGATGTCAAATTTTACATGAAGAAATGATCATTAACATTTATAAAGGACCTAAAACTAGTTAAAGATACATTATGGGAGATAAGATAAAGAGATGGCAGTTCTCACTATTATAGTTAAAAACTAGATAGTGTAAAGGTAATTTGCTGAACATTTCAGTCAAATTGATCCAGTATGAGCTGAGAAAGAAGCGGGTGAATTTTTTGCGTAGTCTCGGTCATCATTACTAAAATCATTAATATAAACAGCATAGTCTCGATTATCCACTTTTTCTGATTTAATTATCAGTGGCCGTTAGCGGTATATAGGAATCTAATCCAGCCAACATCGAAGGCTAGCCTTGACATCGAGAGTTGATTATGGTCTGGATAAGTTAATTAATGTCTAATTGATAATTTTGATAACATTTCAGGCCTAAAGAAAGACTTGTAATAAGCAGATTTTGCTCTTGCATAATGCATGTTTAAATATATATAATGGCCTAATAGATATCCAACCTTTTCATGACCAATTTTCGACTATATAAGTAACTACCGCCTACATGATTTATTGCAGTACATGTACTTCCTATTAGGTTGAAGATTTGAGAGAAGAGGAAGCAATTATTTCCGATACTTAAAACTATGATTTATCATAAACAAACTTTAGGTTTAACTTTTATGAGTAAATCCTAGAAAATCTTTGTACAATATAAGCTTTGTTATGATAGGGTAGGCGTTTGTTCTTGAAAATTTAAAGCATCATTTCGAAGTAGCGAACACCACGAAAAGATACCAGTGTACAGAAGTGACCGACAACGATCTTGCACATAAATAAACTTATCTATAACTTGCATTTTTGTGTTTTCCATGTTATTACTGCTATTACAAACGCAATTGAATAGTAGCGTTTATCAGGCCACTCGATGAAATATTAGCGACGAGAGCTCTAAAAGACATGCAATGCGTGCTGGCACTTTAACCAGATATGATTTATAGATCAATTAAGTTGGGTGGGCAGAGACTGCGGCCATTTTACGCCAACCACAGACATTGCATCATTCAGTGATTGAGGAAGATAATATGATCTTGAACTACTAGGCTCACTCAACTGCTAAACTGTAAACAAAGTAAGGAAGAAACCCGCTTAAAACGCAAAGCGGCCTAAATATCTGTTCATGACTCATATACATTCATCTTACTATGTGTATACGCATAGAAGAAATCAACCGGATTCTGCTAACTATTTCAGTTTATAAACAGGATTTGAACACTTGATATTATTTTCAAAATTAGAACACACATCGTAATAACTTTCAAGTCAATAAAACATCCCCTTTTCTCAAATAGTAGAATAAGAATATGTCTACTTATCATTCAATAACTGGGGATCACGTGGCTAAGTGGGTAAGACGCCGGCTTGCTAGCCTGGAGGTCGGGTGTTCGATCCCTGCATTGGCCGAGAAAGTTCACCCTTGTCAATGAGGGCCTGACAAGGACCGTTGTCTAGTCGATCGGATGGCACGAAAAACCGAAGTCCCGTGTACACATTGGCGTGCACGTAAAAGATCCCTTGACAGTTGCCGCTGTCCGGGCAAAATTTCCCTCATAGCACACTGTATGGCGTATGTCCGTCTTCATTAGCCCAGTTCGGAGCAGAACAGTTAAACCCCATTTCATTTGATTTCATTCAATAACTTATCAATCCGCCATTTTAATATACCTTTGATAGAATGGTGAACAAATCCTTAGGCTTAACTATAATAAAAACCTATTCTATGCTCATGCACTATCTCGCATAGGAAATTAAAATAATCTTGATGATAATAATGAAAAAGAAATTGTCTGATGATAACCTTCATTTCATCCATTATAGCTTGTACATCAGCTCTATCACCGTTTAATTTAGATTTATCAAATGTTGTATGTATTTTTGACAAGGTTGTGTTCATCCAATACTCAGCTTCTTCTACCTCGTGGAAAAACTGTAAATAAACAATAAGAGGAAACGTGAACAAAGGCCTCATCAGATAAGACGACATTACATAATAAGGCCTACGATTAGCATACTTTCAACGATCAATTAAGACGTGAACAAAGGCCTCGTCAGATCAGACATTACATAATAAGGCCTACGATTAGCATACTTTCAACGATCAATTAAGACGTGAACAAAGGCCTCGTCAGATCAGACATTACATAATAAGGCCTACGATTAGCATACTTTCAACGATCAATCAAAACGATGCGAGATTAGCTAAAGCTACATGCATCAATATCAAAACGTTAGCGATGAACAAGACAGGACGAAGCAAAAACTGGAATTCGAGACTTATCAAAAACGAAAACATTTAACGAACTATCTTATGGTTACTTTTCGTGAAACGGTTCATTTGCTAGAAAAATTATGTACCCTATTTATATAGCTCATCAATTATTAAATGACAAATATTGGCAAATGAATGCAATTAGGATTAAACTGAGAGTGTTCCATTTACTCTTATGTAGATAGGTAGACAAAATTAAATGACACAAGAGCGACAAGGGAGATAACAAAAAATAGAATTTCAAAGAATATCCCAGTTGAAATACCGGTAATGCAGAATCATTGATAATTGAGGACCCTTACTTTAATCAAAAGCTTTAAAAATGATGAGGTCTCTTTGCTTTGGGTCAAAATTAAAATTGTTGATTAAAATTGTACGTCTACAGAGAAAGCCAGTGTTGAGATATATGCCGATTTTGTGTTCCACTTTCGTCCCAAAAGAATGGTTTGCTACATCATTAATGAAAATATCATATCACATAAACCAAATTCAATAAATAATTTTAACATGATTCAAATCGGTTTAGCTCCTTTATATGAAATATATTTTTGGTAGCTTACCTCCTGATAAGCTGCAGCATTTCTACCATGAAGTTCAGCACATTGCATAGTTGTAATTATCCATTTCCAATTCTGGCGAACTGCAGTTATACACGTCTGAAAAGTTGGAAAATCAAAATGGTGCAAAGGGGCCCCGGAAGAAATGATGGTAGGAATTGATTAATAGTATTTGTTAGAGACATGCCAATTTTCAGTGGCAACTTTAAGGGTCAGTAAGTGATTTTTTATTGACAGTGTGGAAAAATGGCAAAAATGAATATATTTATCAAATGCGACTAATAGGGAACAGTAAAGCTATAATTTTTTTTTATTGGCACCATGGAATAATAATTATTGCAATTATTAGAAAACTGAATATTATATTTTCCAAAAGGCGACATTTTGACCGAACACAATTGCCTTACACATTTCAGTATCCAGTGGCGGCAATTAACTGCTCTGATACTGTCATTATATTTATCTTGGATATATTCAAATAATAAGGCTCATCTTCATTTACGATGATTTGAAAATTCCCTAAATAATTTACATTATATAATTAACTACCTGTGCTGCTCGGGCTAGACTTTCATTGGTTTGAGAACTAGCACCTTTCAGTTTATTGTTTTCTCCAATGTTTACTAAATGGACGGCTCTAGAATCTAATTCGGTTGACATATCCTAAAAATGAAAATATGTTAAAAAACAAGGTGACCGTGATCGCTCAGACATGCGGAAATGTACACACAAATTTAGGCTACAGTTTATAAATAACATTTTTCATGCCAAAAATGAAATAAATTTTTAAACGTGTCATAAATTGTTTGGGTTAAAGTTTGAAAATAAGGACCACTTCTTCATTCGCGAAGAAAAGAACTGTGGCAAGAATGAATGCGGAGCGATTGTTAACAAACGGCTGGGCGTTAAGGGTTGGCAAATAGTTTAAATTAACCACGTTTGTTAAAGGCTGGATAAATAAAGATAATTCTAATTTAAGGGAGGTAAGACAGTTTGAATTAGTTCATTTTAGACAGATTAGAATAGAATAAGCACGTAACTTCTCATTTTCTCAATTATCGTTTTTTTATATACAAATATCGTATCTTATATGAATATATATTATACATTCCACGACATAGATTTTGGGGGCCTCTTGTCTCTCTATTTTTGACGCCGCTAACATACTTTTTTAATTTTTTTAAAATAATAAAAAGAAAAATCTTTTATCGAGGAAGTTTATCTTCAAGATTAAATAACGTGCAATAACATTGTTTTCCACTCACCTGAACAATTTCTTCCAGGGATGCTATTTGCGAAATGATTTCTAAACATGCTGTACGTTTCGACGAAAGTGCCTGTAAAATATGTAAATATAAATGTTAGAAAAACAATAACACGGAAAACTGTTTGAAAGAGGACTGATTCCTTCCCAAGTCTGTGAATGACGCCTTAAGGTTTAACTGATCAGTATATTTTTATTGATATAAATGAAGTTATTTAAGCCCATTAAATATTTTGAATAATATTAATGTAAAGTGTACCTGCACTGATTCATAATTGCCATCTATTTGTGGTAATTCACCATTTTTAGCTTCCTGAAAAAGAAAATTCGTATAAAGTTACATAGATTTAGAGAGAAATCGGCTATTAAATCAAGTTTTTTGTAGATATGGGTTCCTTAACAGTTCATCCCCATTTCTCCACCCAATATAGCACCTATATTTACAAGGATTGAGCGTGTTATATCTAACGACAAGGTGAAGTTAAATACGTATACCTCAATCATAAATCACATTGCTCCCTCCCCTTTGTTATTGCTTTGTCTTAAAGCAATATTCAAAATAAAGAAAATAAAAGGGTTATTTATAATTTTAATACTTACACTTTTTTCTAAAGCTCGGTTGATATTGTTTCTAAAATCTTTTATTTCCCTGTCCTTCAATCTTTGTTTTTTGACAGCCTCTAATACACCACTCTGTCCTTTACCATAGCCAGCTATTTCCATATCACCCTATATAAACGACATTCAGTTAACTTTCACATAAATTGGCGTTTAATTTAACTAGTCAATTAAAGAATGTTATTTAGAGGCAAATTAAAATTCATTAAAGACTTTGCTGTTTTAATGGGGAAATTGCCACGGAATCAATGGCACTTTTTCCAGCAGAAAAGGGTGACTTTGAAAGTCATTTAAGTACATCAAGGTGTACATTCCTATAATCCTCCTTATCCTAATGTTTCATTACCGCCTGTAGGTTCCCCGTGTCTGAATGGGGCATCCCACATCATGGTGTTCGTAGGTGTATAAGCCTCCATTCTGCGCCTCCACACAATCATTAATCCATCAGTGACATCCGACTAATGGATACTCATCCACGACCTCAGATTCAAGTCCCAACTGCTAAACACTATGCCAGACGTATTATCTCATAGGCATCTATCAGTAAGATGTCTTTGATCACCCTTCTGGCTGCAAGTCTTGCTGTTTTCAGACTGTTCCTCAATTTCATTCTGGCGGACATACATCGGTTGATAAACCACTATAGCGTGAGGGGGGGGGGGCTCATTGCAAGGTGAAACAGAATTAAAATTTATACTGAACAAATAAATAAGTTGGATTATACATTGTCTTAATTTAAAAATTACATTAAAAGAAGTTAGAAATTACATGAATTTAAAAATGTTACATAAATAGAAGTTAGAAATTAGACCATAGCACGTTAGAATATACCGCCATACTTCACAGCCATTTGATAAATATTGCAAGAAACCAATTTTAAAGAGCCTGTATATACAATATTTAGGTCATATTTAATTTTGAAGTTGCTTGGTTTTGGAGCAGTGCAGTTACCAATGAATGGTCAATCATTTGTATGGGAAAGCAATATTGTTAAAACCATCATTAATATGATAGTCGAAAGTAATTGAGACATAATTTGGTTCATTTTGCTAAACCTTTTTCTAGGTGTATAAATGCAACATTAAAATGTTAAATCATTCCCAAATGACTCACCAAATCATTGGATTTATAGAGCCTTAATCTCACTAATCTGAGCTATGGAGTGCATGATTTGTATCAAATGTGTGATCAAGTAACTTTATAACATCTTACAATGGGAGGTAACTCGCCAGACACAATCCAATAGAATAATATTGTCGTGCGTGACCGTTGTAATTCCAGGAAATTTACAGCAAAGAAGTAAACCGATTTGGAGTGAATTTCAACACACCGCCATCATTGGTTGCCCTTTCTCATAAAAAAAGTATACAGCATATCGTCCTTTGCGTGCTGCTCTCGATCTGTATACACAGAAAATCTATCGAGTGCCAGGTACATATATTTCATTGTCCTTTTGTTTCCCAACAAACTTTTCATAGGCGAATCTATTATTATCTAAAACGGTTTTACCACTTAGTTTCACCTATTATATTATTGAAAACGTAAACCGCGAGCTATTTTATCTTACAATTATATTTCTATGATATGCTCCCATTCCCTGATGTTTGTGTCCGAAAAACGGACATCCATTACCCGAAAAATGGACGATTCACCCAATCTGGGGAGTTCCGATCTGTTCCATGAACAGAACCTGGAAACACCAGATTCACTAGGAGTCTCTTATATATCAGTAGCCTACATATTTTCTCTAATATGAATAATCTTGTTAGTTTGTAATAGCAGGTTGCGTGCAGGTTTTAAGTAAACAAACCAAACCTTTTTTGACTACATTTCAGTCACAGTAAGCCTGTCGTTACATAAAGCTAATCTGTAGTTGATTGTTTACTATTTACACAATCGTCTGATAAACCTATCTCCGGGTCAATAAAATATAATTATGTTAAACATACCTGTTGCTGGAAAAGCCAATCCATACATTTCTGGACATCTGATTTCGCCATTCTTTTCTGAAATGAAGGAAAGGGGGCATGTGAATATTCGTTGTAAATAAGAAAATTAATACCAATAGACCCACAGTTTAAATGTCCATTTTGTAACAACGATCTTCACGTGATATTCATGTGAACTGTTGTGTAAATTTTAAACAGTGTTTTATTGTCCTTGTAAATATGTATACCGGTAATGACTAAAACACATTGCCTTTTCCCAGATATTCAAGAGTTTACGATCTCTATATCCTACAAACTTTTGATTTTAAAACATCAAATTCGAAAATATAATCCATCTAAATCACTAAAAACATTCAAATATAATCTATGTAAAGCACCAAAACATATTACTACTGTACAAGAATTTACTCTTTTGCATCCTTAACAATCTTAGTAGTAATATCAACCAATAATTAGATGAATCACCTGATAAATTCTATGCTTATTGACAATTGTAAAAAATTTTGCAGCTAACCGTATGCTTTATACATAATAGTATTAAATACATATTGTGGACGGTGTAACACAAGGAGAATACTTTAAGTTGTAATGTTTCCTGTGTATACCACACTACACAATCAGACATAATACTACAAAAAAAAAAAAAAAAAAAAAAAAAAAATGATTTATAACTTAAATTTATGGGGATTAACGTTATCACGTGTTTTAAGTTCTTTAAGTACATTTATGTACCGTGTTGTATTAAATGATTAAATGTATTAAAGATAAGAAACGACAAAACTTATATAAAAAAAAAAAAATCAAATGTTTTTGGGGGGTTATTTTAAGTACATTTTTTTAATACGTATTAAAATATAGTATCACTTCCTGATATGCATTGTTCAGTTTGCAATACCGTGCAATATATACAGTCTGAATATCAACATGGACATCAGCCATTCATCATTATTTCGAAAGTGGTACAACGTTAACCATTACTATGTGAAGTTACGAAATGAATTATAAGAGGTACTATCTCGTGCACGACGCCAGCCACTAATTGAAGTGCACTGGGTGATAATTTTGAACTAAATTCCAGAAGTCGAACCTTACATACCGTGACGCCCCTAGATGTTGTGAGGTCTGTCATTTAGAAATTCTCTAAATGAGCCATCTTCTAAGCTCAAGATTTAAATTACGCAATCAAATCTAACCCATTTACCTGATGGTAATAATGAAAATATCCCTCTCCTAAAGTTACATCTATACTAAGAACATAAATACTACTCTCATATCTTCAGCTGCCGACTAATACGTGCAGTAACATTTCAAAAGAAACTAGTGACAAACTTGCCCTAAAGAAGGTCCCTTGATTTACACAAGGGGTTAAAAATACCAGTGTTGTTCACCAATTATCACACAACATAATGATTAAATTGAGAGAAGGTAAGACAGATACGTGATTGTTTTATTATAAATAAAGTAGTAAAAGTGACATTTATGACCACTAAGAAACATGCTTGATTACTTTTTTTTATCATAGCGGTAAAGTACAAATTACTCTAAAATCATTACCAGAAGCCTATCATCTTTCAGTTTTACAATTACATGTAGCTCTGAAACATTAAAGTAGTGACAAGACTATGTGATGTAAGTTGGTACTGTACATTCATTTGGTTTATATATTATTTTATAATAAATTAAATGTGGACCATCGAGGCTTGTATTTAGAAATACTTATCTATGCCGGAATATTCGATTATTATGGTTTTATATACATATATGCATACATAGGTATAAATATATGCATGAATATATAAATATACATGAATCTACAGGGTGCTGTTTAGGTTTGTTGCTCATAATATTCAAGCGTTTTGTCAATGAAAGCCAAAGCAGAACGGTCACGGTCTTAGCATCAAAGACCAAAGTATCTTTATATAATCTTTGTTGGTGCATAATTTAATTAAGACATTATTCGTCTATGAAAGAAATCGTGAATAAACTATAAACTGTGTACAGGATTTGGTAAGAAGATTAAGATAATATTAAATACCTCTATAAGAACGTATTTCTATAGCCTCACTCCGTATTGAGCTAACGATACTGTTGTAAGTGTCTTGGCAGCCAAGAGACCATGGAAGGTTACTTAGATTTAGTCTGTCGGCTTGTCAATACTTAAACGTGTGTAAAAACCTCGCCGCACCCTAATTTCACTTCACCAATGTTGACCCAGTTGACGTAAAATATAAAGAAAAGGTGTCCATACCAGTGATATCTCTCTATATATCTACCAAGATAGACTAACCCCGCCCGCGACCTGATTTTCTCTTTTTTAAAATCCCAAATACTAACAGATGACAGAAACCTACTCACGCCAATAAGAAAACCACAGATGCATGTAGATATTTAACTAAGAAAATAACTACTTATAACACAATCTTTTCAAATAATTCATATAAATGCTGAAATAGCTAAGTATCTTATCTGCTTAAATTTATCAATGCCAATAGATTTAAACATTATGTATATAAATTCAAATAAGACCTTATAACGTCATGTATATTTAACTTCAGGGCATTTATCATTTTGATATTATATATAGAGAGTCTTTTGATCTATCAGAGGATAGACATTAAGTTAATTCTTTACGACACATTCCACAATAATATCGCAGTCTTTGGTGCAGAAAAGAAGGACGTTCAACCCCATTTCAGCCATTACTATCTCTGGATCACTGAAGGATTAATATACATACTTTGAGAGTACCAAGACAAACAAAGCAAGAAAGAAAGTGCCGGGACGTTACTTATTTTTATGTATACGCAGTTTTGACACTAATATGAGGAGCACTGGACACATAGATTTGCAGTTTTAGTATTTCTATTATTTTTCAAAGTGACATTAGTCGAGTAGGAATTCAAAATCTTTATTGTCTTGATTTTAACAAATTTCTGTTGAATCTGTTCTACCTAAACATTTCATGTGGAAAACAATCACGATTTGCGCATTGTAGCAAACTACCCCGTCATGCCGCTTCTATTGTGGCCCGAAGTAGGTTTAATTGCCCACTGGAAACCATTTTCCTGAAGCAACGACTGCGAGTTTCACAACATCTGACCGCTTGCCCCAAATCGTGATTGGACGGTTGATAGGAGCATGCCACGACGAATTGCTGAATGTCTGAGGATTGGTGGAGCAATGACTCAAAACAAAAAACAAAAACGTCCATTTTCACTTTTGACAGTGTATCTCTTTGCGAGTGAAATGGGGCTGTCAGATAAGCCACCCATATGAACTGTTTATGTTCATATGTAGGCAATTGGCCTGTTATTAACATACACTGGTTACCTCTAATAAAAACAGCAGTGCAATTCCTCAGTTTTGTATTGTTTCTGAATATCCCCTACTTTTTTTGAAGAGTATATATATCAGTAACTGCTGCTATCCGAATGTAATGGGGTGTAACGTCCTTTGTTTCTGCACCAACCGGTCAAATGAAGACGGATATACAACATGCAGTGTGCTCTGAGGGAAACTTTGCCAGGACCCGGTGGCTACAGCCTACTCTTATTTCCAATTATCAATAGTTCTTTTGTTTGAACTTGAACGCCAACATGTGTTTTGTCCAAGACGTTGTTCCTTGTCAGTTTCTCGGCCCTGCACAGGCAATGGAAACCATTAGCGAGCCCGTGCCTTACTCATGCATTGCTTACTAACTTAACCACATAGAATAAAATATTACCCCACCCTTTGCTCAAAATTCTAACGTGTATGGATACAACGCCTGGAACAAAACAGAAAAGGTAGTATGTTAAAGAGAAAATAGATTCTCCATTCAAATGCCCTTTTGTATATAACCAAATTACTGGTAATAAAATGACTCAAAATCTGCTTTTAATAAGGAAAAATGCATGTTTCATTATTGTTACGTATTATATTCGCATAAATGAAAATATTGTGTTATTAAAGAAATTATTTATACACAAGGTATTTTGCCATCAATGAAATTTTTATACCGTAAATAATTATTCCTATGGTGGGATTAGTCATACAAGTATATCATTGACACTTGACAATAATCGATCACGCCCTGAACTCTGACCTATTTATGATACGTTCAGACCCAAATTACACTTGAAACCACCGAAAACCAAAAGACTACACCTGTCTGCTTACTCCTAATCCATTATCAGATATTTTAGACTATAAACATTGACATATACGTGTAGTACTCTTATCAACCTTCGTTACTAAAGATTTTCCAAATAGAAGGTGGGAGTTTCATGACTTTCAAAACACGGAAGAGATATAAATGAAAATAAAACAGCTCTACTGTGAATAAACATTATTCGCTTTGTCTAATTTCTTTATGATAAATTTGCGCCCACTTTTATTACCGTCTCAGACGGATGTCACGAAATCGAAAGTGGTAATTTTTGGTATTTTGTTCTAATTCTGTTTGCATGTTCATGTGACTGTTTTCCGGTTCGATTAAACGAACACATAAACGGTATAACTTATCAGTCGCCCAACTTCGAGATATGTCACAATCTGAACATTGTAACTAGCCACGGACGACCGGAAGTGTCATTAGTCTCTTATTGACCAAGATGAATCGGACCTGTTTATGTCGTAAACTACAGGTTGAGAAGTTACCAAGATGTTATCCAAGAGACATTAAAGGTGACAAGTAGGGCGGTGGGGTGGGGACCTGGCCACTCTCAACATTTGGTCAGTTCGGGACTAATTCTTTATTTCAATAAAATGCTTAGAACTCGGACAAAACCCATTTCAGTCGTGTGATGGGACTCGTTAGCAGAAGTAAGTTCCACCCACAACAACATAGCCTCCACTGTTGAATTCTGAGTAAATGAATATATAAATTTCATTGATAATCTGCGTTCAGTGCTGTCTGAAAATGAGCAAGGGTGATTTTTGTGACATCCCTTTCCGTCTAGAAACACACCCATTACAATAATATACCTGTATTAAATGTTAGAAATATTCAAATTATACATCATAACATATTAATTAATCGAATCTACAAAAGATAATATTATTGGTTTGATTAATTA